GAGAGAGATCCTATTCTTTTGGCTTTGCTGGTATGAAATGAATAATTCTTTGTGTCTTTGTGTTTTCTTTTGTGTAGTTAACCTCCTTGTATCCGAGTTTTCCTTCTATTATCCTCTGTAGGACTGGACTAGTGGAAAGATATTGTTTAAATTTGGTTTTGTCATGGAATATCTTGGTATACATCTAAGGTGATTGAAAGTTTTGGTGAATATAATAGTCTGGACTGACATCAGTGGTCTCTTAGGGTCTACAAGACATCTGCCTAGTCCCTTCTGGCTTTTAAAAATCTCTGTTGAGAAGTCAGCCCTAATTCTGATAGATTTGCCTTTTAATATTCATTCTTTGTTCTGTACATTTAGTGTTTTGATTATTATGCAGCAGGAGGATTTTCTTTTCTGGTCCAATCTATTTTGTACTCTGTAAGTTTCTTGTATGTTTATAGCCATCTCTTTCTTTAGGTTAAGGAAATTTTCTTCTAAGATTTTGTTGAAGATATTTTCTGGGTCTTTAAGCCGGGAATCTTTTCCTTCTATTCCTATTATTTTTAGGCTTGGTCTATTCATAGTGTCCCAAATTTCCTGGATGTTTTATGTCAGAAATTTTTTAGTTTAATATTTTCTTTGGCTCATATATCAATATTTCCTATGGTATCTTCTATGCCTGAGATTTTTCTCTTCCATCTCTTGTATTCTACTGGTGATTCTTGGGTCTGTATTTCCTGTTCTCTTTCATAGGTTTCCCATCTTCAGGATTGCCTCAGGTTGTGTTTTCTTTATTACTTCTATTTCCATTTTCAGGTCTTGAATAGTTTTTTTTTTTCATTTCCTTCACCTGTTTGATTGTATTTTCCTGTATTTCTTTATATTTGTTCGTTTTTTTTTTTTAAGGGCTTCTACCTGTTTAATTGTATTTTCATGTATTTCTTTAAGAAATTTGTTTATTTCCACTTTAAAGGCCTCTATAATCTTTCTTCATAAGATTGGATTTAAGGTTCTTCAGCTATGTTAGAATATCCAGGGCTCAATGTAGTAGGATAGCTAGGTTCTGGTAGTGATATATTGCCCTGGGTTTTGTTGTTTGTGTTCTTAAATTGGGCCTTTAGCCATTTGATTGTTCCTGGTGTTGACTGGCCTAATAGTGCCTGATGGCTGATGGCCTCTGGTTACCCTAGGTGGCAGCAGGCCTTCAGGGAAACTGGCAGAGCTGTGGCCTGAGGAATGTGTCTTACCTGTTCTGCCTTTCTGCTGGAGGCAAGCAGACCAGAGAAGTCAGGCCAAAGCCTGTAATAAGAAGTCCACAGCCTGTGTTTCATATTGGAACAGCAGATGCCCCTAGACACGCGACAAAAAGGGGAAACAGCTGGGTCTGGAACAAATGATGTGGTTCCTGGTCATTTCTTTGGGTACCCATGTACTGCTGGTGTACTGCCAAAGAGGAAGTCAGGAATTAGGTTTAAGGTTGGTGGTCTACCTTTCCCCTCAGGGTGTCTGCACACTAGGCAGAAAGGGAAAGGCAGAGCCTGGGACAAGCAGGATCTGGTCTGATTGGGGACAGCAAGTGCCAAGTACCTGAGCAGCTAGAGAAGGGAAAACCTTCTTTGGGAGTCTTAGGCATGGCTCTTTTAAGCAAATGCCTTCCTTGTGGCAATTTTTAATGAAGCAGCTCTCTGAGACAATCCTTGCTTATTCATATTGCTCTACTGGCGGTGGATGTGGATGCATACATTTTGTTCAGGCTGAACCAGGGATTATATACCTCTTGGGGGAAGGGTGTGAGATTACCCACGAAGGGAAGGCCATTGGCTGAAGGCTTAGGGTACCGCCTCGTTAGAATGGGGAAGCATTTCAGGAATCTCAGGTGCTAGCTGAACAGGATGCTTGAATTTCACCGAGAAGTGCAAATAAAATAGATGTTGAGGGTGGGAAGAGAGAGGGAACTGGGTGAGAGAGGGGATGAAGAGGGGTCCTAGAGGGATCAAGTATGGGGAGGATGAAGGGAGAGACAACTGGGAGAGAAAACTGGAATCCTGAGGGGAGGAAGCATCTCTGGGAGGAACTAGAAACCTAGGACAAGGAAAGCTCCCAGGAATCTATGAGGTTGATCCTAGCTAAGACTCCTAACAATAGGGGATATAGACCCGGAAATTGCCACCTCATGTAAGTAGGAAAGACTTCCCATGGAGGAATGGGGACACCAACCTAGCCAAAAAAACCTTCAATCCACAATTTTTCCTGACAAGATATGCAGGAATAAAGAGAGACATAAACCATTTTCACTGATTTCACTTACTTTTATTTGTTCTTCCTTCTGCTTCCATGAAACACAGTTGGCTTCTCTTCAGTTTTTGAAGTGTGCTTATCCCTTCTTTCTTTTGTAATAAACATTTCAGATTCCTGAGATTCACTGCAGATCTTTCTGCAATTACACGCTGCGAGGCTCACCACATCTATGAACATGTATAAACACTCATAGAGAAATTGGTACATGACATGCATAGGCCATTTGCCAAGGAAGAAATCCAAGTTATCAATGGATGCATGAAATGTTTTTAATCTTAATAATAAAAGAAACAAAAATTATGAAACCAAACTTTATCATGTAACAAACTGACTTTAAAAAAGAGGGGAATACCTACAATATTAATAATTAAAGGAAATAATTGTTATAATGAGATGACCTCCAATTATCTGTGTTTCAAAGATATACACTTAAACGTTTATGAATAACACTGTCTATGTGACTGAACCTAGTCTTCAGATTCTGTACTGCCCAATTTGGAACAGAGAGGGTGAGGTGACATTGAGTAAGATATTCTACCTAGTGTGCTTGATGCTCAAGAGATAGCCTCCAAGATATCTTCCTCATGATGAAAGAGGTAAATGGCTAGATAGGTAGATGCAAATAACAAACTTGTTTATCTATAATAGATATCAGATGAAAGATATGTCAAATAGGTGATAGGCAGGTAAGTAGATAGATGATTGATGGGTGGGTGGATAGATGACAGGCACACAGAATAGTCACTGATAGTGACAGTAAGTGACTCTGAGCACACTGGACTCCTTTGTTAGTGATATTCCTGAGAACTACTATGGTAGAACATAGAAGATTTGCCTTTCAAACAAAAGGAGCCTAACTCAAACATAACACAGCCATATGCTGTGAAGAATCCACAATTGTGGATATAATTGAGATTAAATTATTGTAAACAAGATAAGATAGAATTATGCAGTCATAAACATATAAGAAAAATTCAAAACTTAGTACAATAAAAACCATTGAATTGATAAGTGTTAAAAATATAGCCCTTTGTGCCTAGCATCTCCCCAAATGTGTCCAAGTTGGATGATTGCTACAGCAAACCAGAATTTAAAGGAATACATTGCTCTTCTCCTAAATACATAGGTCAAAATGGTGGGGAATGGACCAGGTTGGTTTTTTTTTCCCACTAGACACCAAAATTAGGAGAAGATATGGACTCTTATTTTTAGAAAAGTTGAAAAAAATTTCAAAATAGTATACGGAAGACTGGACAATGAAGTGGACAGTCCCCATTTTGCTTTCTCTTGTAATGATGCCTCACTGTATCATTTTGATGCCTCATCGTATCATTAGATTACATTAAATGTACATTCTATATCCCCGGAGAGAGATCTGAGTCTTCAGCCTCACAAACCATTGGCAACTTCCTCTGTCTCCTGTTAATGGGGACTTATTACAAAACAGAGATAGAAAGTTGATGACAACATTTCTAGAGGTCATACAAAACAGGAAGTATGTCAGGACATTTATATGGAGCTAACCATCTTTTGTTGTTTACACTTTGGGTGACCCAACTCCATTTCATTTGTTGTTTTTGTCTCTTAGTCTCTCAATGGCTTCGCTCTGGTGGTGAGTGCAGAAGGGATGATCTTTTACGCATCGGCAACAATTGTGGACTATCTGGGCTTCCATCAGGTAAACAAAGCAAAAGTATCCCTTTGGTATATTAAATATATACCAATTTCAAGTATAAACCAATTTTCAATGTGTGTCAAATGTTGGGTTCCATTTAAGCTTTTTGTCACACGACACAGCTTTGTCTAGGACAGCGTGTCAGCTTCAGTGGAGCATTGTGGTGCTAGGTGACCCTAAGTGGGCTTAGACTTCTCATATTTAGAGCACTATCTCATTTGATAGCTCCATGCCTTAAACTCCATATATTTACTATATTCCAGACATATACATAATTTTTTCCAGTTCCATTCTCCTGTAATTTGACTACCTGGTGTGTGCATCTAGAGACTGACAAAACTCTGTTATCTATAACTGTTAAAAGTATAAACAACTTTTTTCTTCATTATAGAAAGGTTTTCATTGTCTTTATGCAAAGTATTTCACAAAAATATTACAATAGCCTTACACTCTCAGGAGCATTTTGTATAAAATGCTTTACAAAAGTCAACAGCCAGTCGTTCCTGAGGCCTGAGTAAACTGTCCAGTTTCTTCAGACCAGCACAGCAATAAAATTTAGGCCTGTGAAGCGTATTTATTCTGGAAACTGCCTATTCTCTCACAGTAACCTGTGGCAGCTGTCTCTACTTGAACAATGTTCTGAGTGAGGACAACCATCCATGGCCAGTTAGTAGATACATACACGCCTTTCCCAAGAAGGCAAAAATGACAATTGCCAGACACACAGATTGTAAAAGACAGGCTTGCTTTTGTGTTATACTCTATGGCTGGCGTCTTGAAACTGAAATAAAGACTGCTTCTCCTTGTGGCTGTGGCTTCTAGTTTTTATGCCATCTTCATGCCTTCTCATATTTCTTCCCAATACTTCTCTTGGTTTTCCTTCGTGGCACATGCTCTAGGAAACCCTGAAGGACAAGGGGTCATCACACCTACAGTACTAGTTATTAAAACAGGAATTTGTTTCTTCACTCTAAAACTATCTCATACTTTCTTCTAATTGTCATAGAAATATATGGCTTTGCTCTGCCCTTCCTTCTGGCTTTGCTGCATCTTCCACTGTTTTGTCTGACCTTTGCTCCAGTTTACTGCAGCTCACATTAACCTGGATACCCCCCTTTACTAACTAAGTCATGTTAGATAATAGATGAGACTCTTGGAAGGCCAGTGGACAGTGGAAACTACATTCTTATGGTTCTACAAAGCCCAGGGCTACACAATGCCCCCCACACAAAACAGGTGAAAAGAATGTGTATGCTACAGCACCTGCTTGCACACTCACTCTGAGAATCATTGATATCCACTGTGCCCAGATAAGTAGTTCCTCTAATTAAAACCACACATAGAAAAAGCACTGTCTGCAAAAACCCACCTAAGGATGAAAGTACTCAATGCCTTACAGAACATCCACAGAGAAAATAATAATAATAATAAAGTTTTTAATTAAATTAAGACTGGTTTATATGCCTTATCCAGAAGGAAGTCTCGTTACAATCATGAAGATGTCAGCCTTCTCCACATCAAACTACATAGTTAATGTGATTACAGTGGAAGCAGAGACACCTCTGGTGAACCTTGGCATTCTACTTCTATAATCTCCATTGACATGCAGGTGTAAATATAATAACTTTCTTAGGAGAGGACGGGATTACCACATGGCAAGAAACAGGTTTCTCAGAGACTAGGCATAGAAGGCCAAGTGAGAAAGTACAATCAGACAAACGCACAAACAGCACTGCTCAGAGACCAGTGTCTAGAACCTATGAAAACATTCACTCTTGCAGCCAACCAAGCCAGAAAAAGCCACTGTATCTCCTGTTGTGTACTGTACCTAAAGTAAATATCTGGAGGATGACAGATAGCTCTAGAGATGGCATGGCAAAGATAGGAGGAAAGAAGTTAAAATTTAAAATTGACACAAGATAAAGATGCTGCTGCCATACAAACTGGGCCAAAAGATAGATTCTTAAGAATCCAGTATTCCTTCGGTATCTGAGTCAACCTGTTCGTGTAGCCTGAGTCATAATTTAGGGGCAACTAAAAGAGGTTACCACATCATGCTTCCTCGAATGGGGATTTTCTCAACTCAAGTCAACTTCTGCTATGCTTCAGTGTCAGTGTTTCAATTCAGGTTGCAGGGACTGTGATGGCTAAACTGGTAACCATCACACTGGAGAGGTAACATTAGCACTGGACAGGCTGGAAGTAAAAGAATCATTAGTTAGAGATAGGCCCGGGCTGCAGCTTTGTTCACCTCTGTTATAGATTCCTGTGCCTTAGCCCCACAATTGCCTCCAGAACCCTGACCCTGGACGTCACTAACGAGACAGCAGTCATTTCTTTCTGACTTACTCTCTACCTTTTCTCTGGGCTGTATCTAAACATTCCTTTGTAAAATGTTCTTTCTAGATTGATGATATCTGTCACTGAATCAGTGTACATTTACAGCCGCATCCTTCTGCGACCTCCCAGGGAGAGTCTTATTTAATATCTGGGGTGCCACAGAGCTTATCCACAAAGTTACCAACAATGATAAAGATTTGAAGAAAACATGAAGGATTTCATGAACTCTGGGTGAAATTGCTAGTTACATTGTTAAAATATAACATTTTTTGTTTGATTACTAAGGGACTTTTCTATATCTGAGAAAAGAGTATTCTGGTTATTATAATCATTCATCTAAATTCATCCTTTCTAAAGTGGATGAAACCTAGAAATAGACCTATTTGAGAACCCAGTACTATAGAGATGCTGCCAGCCTTGATGACTTTAGTAGGCTGGGTTCCCAGTGCAAAGAATAAGCCAGATTCTTCCTTGTGAGAATAAAGCAACAGGAAACCTCTCCAAGTTCATGAATTATCTGTCCCTGGCATGGTCAAAACCTTAATGTCAGCCTTTGCAGGCCAAAAATTCTGCTCTGTCCACCAGATAGCTACAAGAGGGCTCCCAGTGCCTGAAAAATGTGGCTTCCTTTCATCTGATTTTCTTTGAGGAAGTTAGAGGAAAGTGGACCAGAGTGAGGCCCATGATCTGGTGTGTCTTAGATGCATCATGGACCATGGTAGGTTGAAGTATATGACACAATTGGCATGAAGTACCACAACTGATTTAGAAAAGAAAAACCTCTGCCTGAGCACCCACAGCTCTGAGGACATAATGATACAACCGTGAAGGCCAGATCCTGGGGGCCACAAAGTCAACATGCTAAGGGGTGACATGACCGTGGAGGCTCATTCTTCCAGGATGAAGGTAAAGCAACTGCTTCTGTATTTCAGACAGATGTAATGCATCAAAACATTTATGACTACATCCATGTGGATGACCGGCAGGACTTCTGCAGACAGCTACACTGGGCTATGGACCCTCCTCAGGTGGTGTTTGGGCAGTCCCCACATGCTGACACAGGTGAGCCAACTTCATTGGCATCCACGTTTCCCTCTACATCCACACGGAATTTCCTTCAGGATTCTGCTTTCTCTTGACCACTCCTTTCCACACTCCTCCAGCCTCTTCACACTCCTCCAGCCAGCAGTTGGTCCATCCCAGGTTCTGTGTGGCCTCTGAGTGCCTTTTCATCATTGTGCCTGCTCCATTCTGCTCTGCTCTCTACTATGACAGATACTTGAGATACTCGGCTCTCAGAGAGGAAAAGGTTATTTGTGAGGCTTCAGTTCACCGACTGGATCCTTTGCTTTTAGGCATTTAAGGGCAGCATATGACAGTAGAAGTGTCTGGTGAGGTAAAATCCTTATCTGACGTCCAACTCAGAGAGGAAGAAAAGGAGAATCAGGTCCATATTAGTTACTTTAGCTGATGCTGCAACAAAATACTTGATCAAAGCAGCTTAAGGAAGGAAGGGTTTATTTCTGTACAGTGTTGGAATATATAGCCCACCAATCAGAGAAGGTAAGGCAGCAGGAACATGACACAGCTAGTCATATCACATGCATAGTTAGGAAACAGACGTGGATGCTGATGCCCCTTTTGATTCAGCCTAGGTCATGGAGTGGTGCCACCATATTTCAGGTGGATCTTCCCACCACAGTTAACCCAGTCTAGAAACTCCCTCATAAACCTACCCAGAGGTTTGTTTCCTGGATTCTTATAGAGCCTATCAAGTTGACAATCACGATTAATCATCACCACTTTACCCACTGTTATATTAACACCCAAACACATCACATTAAATTGTAACAGGATCCCATAATACTTCTCAAGGACATACCCCTAACACCTTTCACTGCCTCCAGGTTCTGCTATATTTGATATTTTCAATACTACCAAAGAGCCTAAGGACTTGACACATTTTTCAAAAACTCTCTTATCTTCCAGGCAGCAGCTTTGGGCCAATTTACAGTTAACTGAAAAACGAAAACAAAATGTTCCACGTAGTTATCCTTTATGCACTATAATCCTGTAGATCACTCCCTAACAAATACATTTTACCCAACCGATACCCAAGTGATGATGTGTGCAATGTTTCCCATAAATAGTAGGTAACAGTGGACTTGGAGGATTGGGCATGTGGATTCTGGACTTCTTCCAGGAGTTCATTCAGATGGTTTTCTAAAATTTAAATAATTCGAAGAATAGTTGCCACCGAACTTCAACATCTAACAGCATAATTCACCTTAGATCTAAGGTGCCTACATGTCATATCATTTATACAGCTCAAACAACACTAAGAAGCTGACCCTCAGTCACACATGCAGCAGCAGTAAAAAATCAATGTTAGTCAGCACCAATGAAAACAAAATCCACCAAAGTGCTGTCTCTTGAAGACATGGGGGATGACAAAGGCTTGGAGACTCATGGAGAGAAGTGCATTCTAGAAGGAATGGCATGTTTGTTACATGCTTCGTGGCAGCCAGTTACATACTCTCCTATATCTGTATCCACTATCTTCATAGCTTTTGTCTGTTGTTTCCTAGCCCAATCATATTTTAATTCGTGTTATTTGCATTATCTTGTCAGACAATACCGTACTGGGGAAGCTGCTCAGGGCCCAAGAAGGGGGCAAGGGCTTGCCCTCAGAGTACTCGGCCTTCTTGACACGCTGCTTCATCTGTCGTGTTCGCTGCCTGCTGGACAGCACCTCTGGCTTTCTGGTAAGAGGGTGGATGCCAGAAACATGTGGGATACTTTCTACTATGGTGAAGAAAAGATGGGACGGAGTGAACACTGTGTAGAGGCTCCAAGCCAGTAAGTTGACAGAGGCAGACCTTGACAGCACTTGTAGGTAGATGGGGAGGGAATGAGAGAAGACGTAGAGGGTTAGAAAACCAGATAAAATATTTAAAAATTGATAACAATTTTCAACTTAAATTTAGTTGTGCATTTATTTAAAACTAATTTTAAAAGTTTTTTCTAGGACTGGAGATGTAATAAATTAGTGAAGTACTTCCCTAGCATGTACAGAGCCCTAGATTTGATCTCCAGTATCACATAAACTGTATATTTAAAATTCCAGCACTTGGAAGGTGGAAGTAGGAGGATCAGAAGTTCAATTATCCAAGGCCAGACTGGGGTGCATGAGACTCTGTCTATAGATAGATAGATAGATAGATAGATAGATGAATGAATGAATGAATGAATGAATGAATGAGATTGGTCAGTGGGTAAATGTGCTTGCTGTCAAACCTGACCACCCGAGTTTGATCTTTAGGACCCATGTAGTGGAAGAGGAGGGCCAACTCTTTGAAGTTGTCTTCTGATGTCCACATGTGTACTATGGCATAGCCAAGTCCACAGACCCTTATCCAAGGTTTTGGTTTCAGCCCTTTCCCCCCAGAGCACTTGAGTTTCCACTTTTTTAGAATGTAACAATTTTCCTTATTTTTTATTATTAGATTTATATGTTTTCTTATTTTATATGAGAGTGGTTTTCTTGCATGTATGTAAGTACTGTGCTCATGCTTCATGCCATGGAGATCATAATAGGGCATCAAATCCCCTGGAATTGGAGTTACAGATTGTTTTGAACCAATGCGGATACTGGGAATTGAACCCAGGTCCTCTACAATAGCAACATGTGCTCTTAACACTGAGCCACTTTTCTAGCCCCGGGTTTCTACTTTTTACATTTCCTCTTCCACTTCCACATGAAGAGAAGAGGAGGTTATCCTCCAGGGACTTAGCAGAGCAAGGACTTTGGAACCTGCCTACCTTGCCAGGCCACACTGCATTTGCCCTGTCAGAACCTTGGCTCCTGGTCCCTGCACTCTCTCTTTCTCTCCAATGGTCACAGCTATCTGAGAGTCCCTGGACACTCTGCCTTATCTTGGCAAGAACTCATCTCTGAGTCCTCTGACTGACCTCAGCTCCTAGTGTTCAGGACACTTGGACTCAGCTTCCTAGACTGATTTGTGGACCCAGGACCATAAGATCCTGTGACCACTGCATATGGTCCTTCTGTCTCGCCTAGAACAAGCCTGGCATATGTGTCCTGTCTCTTTAAATAACCTGGCAAAGGTTTCCATCTCTACAACACAGACTAAGGGTTATCGGGAGGTCTTATCTCCTCCAGTTGGACAGAGTTTCCAGGGAGAAAGAGCTCTCACCCTCACCTGAACTATGGAGCCCCAGAAGTAAAACCCTGGGATCTGCAAATCCATACAGACCATCCATCAAAGATGGGGATGACAAATTCCTGTCAAGCTTACTTCACACTTGAGAAAGGCCCAGGAAACCTGTATGAGGTATGCCTAGAACCTCAGTATACACCCTTGGTCTATCACACTTTGTGGAGGTTTTTCTAATCCATACCAGCTTTACCCAGCTCCTATCCATGGCTCTGTGAGCTACACCCCCAAGCTAACTTTTGAGGATCATTCCACACACAGAAGAGACAATCTCTCCCCATGTTACTACCTTAGGATACTTGCCCTTCTTCCACCCACAATGTTCTCATGTTCTTTCCAGATAACTCACAGGAAAAGGGATTCATACCAACTGGTAGACCAGGGGTTCTTATTTTCATTAACCTTTCCTTGTTCATTGGTTGGTTTTGGGTTTTCATAAACATTTTTATTTTAACAAATAAAGATGTTAATATAATGCCTACTCAGTGCCTTCAGAAGGCCAGAGGAGGAAAACCAGAATGTTCCTTTCCAGTTACACTCAGGTCCACTCTGGACATGTCTGTCACATGTGCTTCCAGAGCATAGCTGCCATGGCAGATTCTAAACACATGGTCCATACCCGAGGCTGTTTCTATCTGGTCCCTTCTGCTTAACCTTTTGAAACCAAGTTCCCACTCTACTCACTTAAGTGAGCACACAGTGAAACCACTGAACAAGACTACTGCTTCAGTGCAAAGAAAAGTTCAAATGGCCAAGGCTATCTCTTGGGAGTCAGAATAGCAAAAGGTTGGGGAATCTTGCTGGTTTTACAGTGGGAAGGAACCTGGAAGTTTAGAGTAGTGGGGAAGAGGTCTGTAGGACAGAGGAGCCTGGAGGCTTTGGTATGCATTACAGGTCTGTGTTAATAGGAACCTGCCTTAAGTTAGGGTTACTATTGCTATGATGAAGCACTGACCAAAAGTAAGATGAGGGTGAAAGGGTTTATTTGGCTTCCACTTCCACATCCTAGTCCATCACTGAAGGAAGTCAGGGCATGACATAAGTCACTGAAACAGGGCAGGAACTTAGAGGCAGGAGACCATGGAGGAGTGCTAATTACTGGCTTCCTCATATGATTTACTCAGCCTGGTTTTCTTATAGAACCCAGAACCATCAGCCTAGGGATGGCCCCACCCACAGTGGGCAAAGCCCTCCCACATCAATTATTAATTAAGGAAATGCCCTGCAGGCTTGCCTACAGATCTTCTTATGTAGGCATTTTCTAACTGAGGCTTTCTCCTTTCTGATGATTTTAGCTTGTGCAAAGTTAGCATAAAACTAGAAATGCTAAGAGTAAACATTTGTTTATCACTAGCAATCTTTCTGTTTACCTGGTCAGAGTCCAGCCTGTGCTGAGAGCCCAGACTGTCATTTTAGGGATTAAGACTAACACTCACCTTAGGTTGACTTCGCCCAGTGATGATAGCTGGATGCAGTAACATTTCACAGTTTATGGAAACATTAACTCTTTGTCCATTTATCAGTGAAAGGGTATCTGATTGATGTGTCTGTTGATCATTTCTGCCACTGATAAATACACATCTTTATTGTTGGCTACAAAAATGAAAACTTGATCCTTTGTAAATATAGATTTAGATCATGCAACCCAAGAGAACAGGAAAGAAAATGCTAGAGGGACAATGGTGAGCCATCCTTCCTGGATTTCAGATCTAGGCCTGGCCTTACATGTCCCATCCCTGCATGTGTCCTTCCCATAGGGCTCCATGCAAAAGATTGCTGCCCATGACTCTGTATCTATTATCCCCATAATCAGGACTACTCATCATCTATCTGGACATCAGTAGGTAATAAAGGCTCTTGTTCTAATAATGTTTCAGCCTAAAGTTTAGTTGCATTGAAGGAGTCATTATTATGAGTTCTATTCATAAGAGAGAATTTCACTGTATAACAGAGCAGAGACAAACTTAGAATAAAACTGAAACAAACACCCAATAGAGGAATTAGTTTGATTTTAAGATTGCAATAATATTTACAGAAATAAGTGTCTTCAGTATCTTAAGTTACCTGTGTAAGACCTAAAGAGAATTTAGCCAGCCAAAATTCCAACATGAATGGAAGAGGGGTTCATGAGGTCCCCACCCCTTGATGAGGAGTTATTGGCAAGTTGATGGCTTATTGATAGAACAAAGAAAGTCATTTTTCTCTGGGAGTGTAGTCAGTGGTAGGCTGCCCTTGCTTCAGTGGATGATCCCACACCTATGTGCATATCATGTGCCCATGGGAGCACTAATTGGACTTAGTCGGTTTCTTTAAAAGATGAAAAGGATATGAAGGGGAAGGAGACATATTTGGGGATGGGGAGTTATCAGGGGATTCAGGGTGGATATAATCAAGATATATTTTATATATGTATTAAACTCTTAAGTAATACATTAAAATATTATAGCTAAAAAAAGAAATAAGTGTGTTGTATTCACCCATTCAAATCTACTATCCCATACTGATACTGGGTTAGTTTTGGCACTTCATAGGCTCTTTCCACCTCATCCTAAAGTTTGGCAGTAATGGGAGGGGGTGTACCTGCCCAGGATCTATCAAAGAAACTGACGAACACTGCAAATCTAGAATTGTTTTCTCTAGAACTGGGTATTGTTTCCCAGATATACTCAAGCATGGATGAGTGAATGAGCTGGAAAGCTGGGAAAGAGGGAAGACAGATGGAGGAAGATAAAATGAATCCATGAAAGGATAGAGAGAGTATGGGTTCATGCTGCTAGGTCATGTGAAGGCAGGAGAATCCTGGAGGAACTAATTCAGTGATATAGCAGCCATCCATATATAAAAATATTTTTTATTTTATTATCACAAATGCCTAAGCTCTATGCTGATGTTTAAACTTACACTGTATATTCTAGATTAATAAAAATCAAGCTGTGCTTCTTATTTTAAAAAAGTGAGAAATGCTAATTTGGAAATGAAAAGTTAAAGCTTGATCAGCTCTTAGGAATAAGTCCCAGGGAAACTCCTGCAAAAGATGACTGATGGCTGGGTATCAGTGACCACTCATGTAGACATATGCTCAAGTCTGCCTACATAGACACATGGAAAGTGGGTGTGCCAACATGTGCATGGTGAGATTATGCTATTCATAAATGGTCATGAGACTGCCAATAAAGGAACTATAGCCCTAGGGCAGAGCTGGTCCCTGGGGGTTGAGCTCCACTATGTAGTGGAGGCAGGTGTTTCCTAAAGTCTTAGGATTAGACCTGCTTAATGGTATTGCTACAAAATTATCTTCATATACTTGACCAGGCTCTATAAACAGCATGTTGTCTTTCTGTCTCTTTAAAACATCAGACTATGCAGTTCCAGGGAAAACTAAAATTCCTGTTTGGACAGAAGAAGAAGACACCGTCAGGAACAGCCCTGCCTCCTCGCCTCTCATTGTTCTGCATTGTGGCACCAGTCCTGCCTTCTGTGACTGAGATGAAAGTGAAAAGCACATTCTTGAAGGCGAAGCACAGGGCAGACATTGTGGTTACGATGGACTCAAGGTGAGTATGAATTGTCACATCATGACATTGAATGACAACAGCAAAATGCCCCACATGTTGTAATTTCTATATACTTTTTCCCAGTAAATAATAAATATGAAGTTTGATATTTTTCAAATCATTTCACAATGTCCCTGACAACTATTAGGGAAAGGTATCTTTTCAAAATTGGTGCAAACTGTAGCACCACACACTTTGATTGCTCTAAAGCTCTCCTTAACCTCCAGGCTCAGCCCCCAGAGAGAGGCCAAAATAGCATGTCACCTCTATAGAGCCTGCCTTCTCCTCAGTTTGTGGTGTTGGGTACAACACAGATATACGTCTAGAGGGCACATCTAAGGTAATTATTGGGACTGTGCCAACTTTTTAGGGCCTCATCTCACCAGTCTTGTGACATTTTCTCAGTTTTCAGGAGTAGAAAACACACTAGTTTTCTGGGCCATTTCCAGGAGTGATATAAAGTTATTTTCTACCTGATATAGTGATCTGGAAGTACAAGGTCAGAGGGAGTTGAGAGACAGCAATGCCTCAGTTCTGAATTTGATTTCTGTTGTATGACACTATTCCTGGAGAGACATGAGGAAAAGTCTACTCACCCAAGATAGTGAAACAAAGTATGGAGAGCGCAAAGGTCAACTTGGTGGACCAATGAGTTTTATTAGGGTTACTTACAGGAATATAAGTGAGGGTTACTCATGGGAGCAGAAACAACTCAGAGACCACTGCATCACTGAAGCCCACCCCAACATGAGAGACAACTCATGAAAACTGGAAATCTGAGGCATTCTATACACAGCCCTCAGGTTGGAGAATGGCCTTTCCCAGTGGCTCCATTGGTCAGAGTCCTTTCTAAGCAGCTCAGCTCAGCTCATCTGAGGGTCTTCTATGCAGCTTGGTTTGTGGCAGTTTTTACTGATTGTATACTCTTTGGAGGTGCTTAGTGAATCCATTCAGTTTCAGTGTCTTCCTGAAGGTGTTTTGACTTATTTACTTCCTGTTTTAATAATCTTCCCTACAGGATGGAATGCTTTACCTTTGCTTAGAACATCTTGTTATTTTCCTCCCCTGTAAAAATCCTGTTGTTAAACATTCCTCTTACACCCTATGTATTAAGGAGTTTCCCTCTGAGATGGAAGGTTTTAATCTAGGAAGACACTGCTGTACAACAACTTCCCACACAGATTATAGGCAACACTTTCTTCTGTTCCACTATAATAATAGTAGTCAAAACCAAAAAAATCTAATTTCCAGTCACTTGTCTGTCCTTTAGTGACTAAAACAGAACCAAGCTGCCCACCTTCCCTCTCCAGAACATACTAAGTTCTCAGTCTGAGGGTGTGTTAGTTAAGACAGCAGGGCTTGGGATAAAATAGTGGAAGTTGAAATGAGCTATCCTTCTACTTAAAATTGAACCATGCATTTCACCTGTAACCCTGACCCTATTTCTAACCTGAGCCACAGTGCTCTTCTCTTAGAGGCATTGTGGGGTCTTCTCTGGCCTTGGTTGCTGGAAGAATGCTGGGGACGGGCCAAGGACATGGTCTAGGACTAATTCACAGATTGGTCACTCAGCCTTGGCTACGGCAGAGAGGCCACAAAGGATAAAAGGAGTCTGGTGTAGAGCTAACACGATCTGTTCCTTTTCAGCCAGTGACACAGGGAGAACACAGAATAGCCCATGGATCAGGAGGGCTCATTAGTGGCACTGCCCCCAGGATGTGAGGCATGACATCCTCATATCAGGATGGAGGAGCCTGTAGAATGGGCACTGCCTTCTGAAACGGCCTTACGAGGCATTCATTTAACTGCCCGCATGGAGGTTGTGGGAAGGAACAAGGCTGATGAGGAAATGGTGGTCCCAGAAGATAAAGCCTGAGGGCACTAATGCTGTTCTCAGACCTGGACTGGGAGAGAGACTTCTAGTGCAACCTTTAATCCCAAGAAGGAAAATGCAATTTCTGGTACCTTTCCACTCTGTCTTGGAGGTATGATGGGCACAAGATTGGATACATAGGCCACCCCTCTTCCAAGGAGACACCTCGATGGATTTATAGGATTTCTGAAGACAGCAGCACCACAATTCATTCTCTGCAGGGGCAGAGATGATGGTGCCAGGCCCTGAGAGCTGACTCTGAGACCTGTTGTATTGTGATTGCAGGAGCAGCTGTTGTCACTCACAGCTTCCTTAACAAGCATTTTGTGTTGGATGTTCCTATTTGTTTCTTCAGCCTGTTATGTTCTTTTACCTGCCTGCTAAAATTTATTTCAAATCTCCAAATCAGCATTTGGAACAGTTTTGTCATTGCCTGTAGATATACAGTGAGAAAATATGATTTTCGGAGAGTACATACACATTCCCAGCAGTGACTCAGCAGATCAGGCTTCCCTCTCTCTCAGTCTTACAGTTCCTCACAGATCCCAGATACAAAGAGACAAAGAGATAAGCCACACTGCACAGAAGACTCTGGGATGAGTCCAGAAGATAGAGTCTGAAGTCCAGTATTGGCACCCAGTAGAGAGACATCACCTAAATTTCTCCTTCGAAAAGCAAAATAGACCTATCAGGATAACTCAAAATTATTTTAAATAGAATTTAATGGCAAAAGAATAATAATAGAATTTATGACTCCAGTAGCCCTAGAAAGCCTGACCTGGCCATTCATCCCAATATGTCCATTAAAGAGACCAACAATGAGAAAGGTGGAGAAGGAAGACATTGATCTAGTACACAGGAGACAGGACAATACGAAAAGATCCCATATTTGGAGCATGTACATAAGCTTTTGGATTAAACAGAGGCAGAATTGGAATAGGAGTAAGAGGTATGCTTAATTAAGCAGTTCTTATCAAGGCATGGTAATCTGGTTAACTATTGAGTCAGATCTAGTTCTGCAAAGTGGTCTGAAGAAATCCTTATTGCTTGAGAAGATAAACTGGATCTCAGGAGATAGTTAATATTTCTTCAAGCTTTGGCACTACCATCATGGACAGTCTGTCTTGAGCCCCCCCTGTTGCTGGAATCTAAGGTGACTGCAGGTTTTGGTAAATGACTAGAGGCCTCTAGTCACCTTTTAAGAACATGAAACAGAGCAAGGTGGTGGTGGTGGTGGCATATACATCCTAGCACTTGGGAGACAGAGGCAGGCAGATTTCTATGAGTTCATGGGTAGCCTGGTCTACAGAGTGAGTTCAGGGCAGTCAAGGCTACACAGAAAAACCCTGTCTTTAAAAAGCCATTTTAAAAAAGAATATGAAGCAGAATGCAGTAAAGAGCTAATAAGATGCCTCCATTATTTTTATTTTAGTGCCTTAAGCCTTTAAGAGGAATGCAATAGTGTACTGACTACTTTTATGTCAACCACAAGTTAGAGTTATCTGAAAAGGGAGGGAGCCTCAACTGAGAAAATGCCCCCATAAGGCCCAACTGTAGGGCCTTTTCTTAATTAGTGATTGATAGGGGGAGGGGGCTACAGCCCACTGTGGGTGGTGCCATCCCTGGGCTGACGGTCCTTCAAAAAAAGGCTGAGCAAGCCACGATGAGTTAGCCAGTAAGCAGAACTCTCACAGGGCTCTGAATCAGCTCCTGCCTCCAAGTTCCCACCCTGCCTGAGTTCCTGCCCTCACTGCTTTCGATGATGAACTGTTCTATGGAACTGCGAGTGAAGTAACCCTCCCCCCACTCCCAAAGTGTCTTTTGGTCATGGTGTTTCATCACAGCAATAATAACCCTAAAACAATAGGATAGGTATCCTCAGTTCCTAGATTCATGAATGATTTGTGTACCTATGTACATAGGTAAGCAGATAATCTAAAGTAAAGAACACAGATGCAAAGAGAAGGTAGAGAGACACCAGACTTTCATCCTGTGTTTAGATACTTTGTGAGGAGCTTGGTGGTCACTAACTCATTGTTATGATGACTGTATAGAACATAACTTCCTCAAGTCACAAGAGTCAACTTTTAATTTTTTATTCTGGTCTTATGGAGGGGAGGAAGGTGCAATCTCTAAAAGCCAACTATGAGCTATAAACATCCTAAAGTAATTAATTAACTTTGCACTGGACCTCAAAAGTTCAATAAGAAAAAGAAACTCTGCAAAATAAAGGTTAAAAGGTATAAGAGTTAATTTCTATCTTCTCTTGAGCAAGTCATCTTCTGTTGTCTAACCTTTGCGAGAGACCTATGGATAAAAAGCAGTTCATTTGTTCAGCTTTCTTCTGGCAGGCTCATTGGTGTGAGTGTTTGAGTCAGGAGGTCTGGGCAGTGGGGTCTGGGGTCTCGCTGACTCCTTCTGTTGTCTTATTGTTAACCTACGTTAATGTTGTTATCTGGTCTTCACAGGACAAAAGCTGTTACAAATCTGTGTGAATCAGAATTGCATCCCAAACTCAATTACTTAGCAGGTACTTCTAAAACTTCATCTGCTTGGCTTTTCTATATGGCAAGACACTTTTGTCTCTGGGAGAGCTCCCCATGCCCACAGAATTCTGCGTATCCCCTAGTGATGCCATGACCAGCAGGGTGTACTACTGAGATAACTGCCTGCTGCTGTCACTCTAGTCCTGGTCACTGCTGAGATCAAACCTGCTCATTGGCCCTCATTGTGACATCTTTCCCCTCTCTAAACCCTAACAGGAAGGAACAATGGAGAAAATGGCATTTCACTGTTCAGGGGACAAACAGAAAGGAACCACTGGGCCAGGGCTCTAGCCAGGTCTTCATGTCTGTGCCTCAGGGGTGCTCCTGACCTGCTGGACCCCAAGGGGGCTTCAGGGTAAGTGGTAACAGACTCCACGGTTCCCAGTTTCAAGTTAAATCACTGTGGATATCGGAATGAAAAGATAGGCATGGAGAAGAAATATTTGCGGTAGCCCTGACACCTGTTTGTCTGTACACATCTCTCAGCCTGGGCAGCAAGCAGTCAGGGAAGAGTATGTTTGTCTCAGAAATCCTTTCATGTCACAGCCCTTCTCCTACCTACCACTTGCCCGCCCTCCCACTCCACCCTGACAGTAGGTTTCTTTACCAAAATAGTTACTAGGTAGCACCCTCCTCATCTTTCATCTCTCATCACACTAGTCCTGAAGTCACAAAGTGTCCTGTGGTCTTAAGATTGTTCTTTTAGTGTCCCTACAATATCATATTAGTGGGGATCATATGGCTGATGGGCACTCAACCATCCCCAGAGATTCCTCCCTGAAGCAAGGAGAGCAGCATGCTTCCTGGGAACCTAGGGGCCAAGGAAGGCAAGATAGAGCAAGGAAGGCTTTTCGCTGGCTCCTTGGACTAACAACAGGTGGCTGAAAAGGCCAATGTGGTCTAGGAAGATTTGAAGCTGCCTTTGGGATTTAATTGGTATCATACTAAGTTGCTATCCACTCATAGAGAGGCTGGGGTCTCTAAAGGAGTGAGAGTATTGCTTCTGTGCTATGTCCAATGGCTATCGTTTCTCTGAAGGGACAGAGAAGAGGAGGACCAGAAGTACATACTAAGGAGATCCCCTGGTGCCCGGGGACAGAGGGAGATGTACAAGTACAGTCATGGCTTGGAGACACCAATACACTTGAGGCACCTGAATTGGAGCACAGAGCAGCGAAGTCAGGAGGGCACTACCAAGCTGACTCGGCAGCCCAGTAAGAATGAGCCATCCACATGTTTGGTGCCCCATGGTTCCTGTGTGTCCTACCCTGGAAGCCAGGGTATGTTCAGTGCCAACAACAATTCTTTCAGAGATTCACTAGACCATCCCACTGGTGCCTACTGCAGTCAGATGAACAGACCCTTGCCGGATATCCATCAGGGCCAGGTGGATCTTTCTACCTGTCATATCCCACAGGGCAGTCTGGGATCTAGGATCCCCCTGCCTGGAATGCAGCGCTTCACAGCCAGAGGATTTTCTACAGAGGATGCAAAATTGCCCAGCCTGCCAGTGACCACAGGCACCCCATGCAACCCAGTATTGTCACTGGAAGTGCCAATCAAGATGGAGAATGAATCTGGGTCCCAGGATATAGTTGAAGCCAGCACAACTAGCTGTGTGTGGCTGGGAACCAGCGACATGGCCAGAAGACATCTGGTCGGTTTCCCTGCCAGGATGCACTTGAAAACTGAGCCCGACTATAGGCAGCAGGTCTGTACTCCACACCTTGGGCATGGTATGGTGGGAACTAATCCCCACAGCAGAGATACTGTTGGATCCTGTAGGGAGCATACTCCTCTTTACTCTGCACATTGCACCTGCCTGGATCCAGAGCCTCCTCATCACCTCTTCATGTGTAGCCACAGTGAGAGCCAGCACGCTTCTTTAAACCAAGACTGCAGAGCTCCTATTGTTAAGCGTGAGCCTCTGGATTCACCATCATGGGCTGCTCCTGGTCAGGTGACTGTGCCCAGGATGTTCCCTAAGAGTGCCTCTATAACTGTGATCCCATCCAAAGGCTCTGATGGGATTTTCCTATCCTAGAGTTCCTGCTCTGCTGGAAATTCAGTCCTTGGATAATGGAACATGATCGGAGATTCTTATAGTGACACTCTTTACAGAACTCAGTATGTGAGGCTGAGACTCCCTGTGTATAGCCTAGCAGTAGTGCATTCTGAATCACAAAGAACATCAGAGGATTCTCATGCATAAACCTCAATCTGTTCAAGTGGACAGCATTTCACTTTGAGAAATTAAAATGTTTAAGGAAGCAGCTAATAGTATTCTATGCTGGGCTGGGCTCAACTGATTGTCAAAGTGATGTGTTCCTGGTGCCCAAGCTTGCTACACCTCCTGCCTGTATGTAAGAAATTCTGAGGCTCTTAATCAGGAACTGAGGCTATACTTTGCATAATGGTAATTAGGGAAACACCGTGGTGTTTTTGGTGGGTTGTTGAGTATGGTTTATGTACCTGTGTCCCTGAGTACATAATATGGTAGAGCCAGGAACCAAGGCAGCACAACACACAGAAAAGGGTGAAGCCATACTGATGAAGAGGCTGTGCTCTGCCCACCTGTCTGGTTCAAAGTCTTCCTCTGAGATGAACATCCATCTCTGATGCTACTTCTCCTGAGGTCTTAGGAATAGCAGGAGCTTGCTGGAAAGGCCTTGTGGCTAATTCTACTAGGTAGTCTCTTCAGCATAGATTTTCTTTCCTTTACCTATCGCTCCAGGGTATCATTGCTCAGCCACTGGCTTAGTGAAAGAAGCCTATCACCTTATTGGGATCAGGTTGAGTGGGCAGGGACTAAGTCTTCTGCGGAGCTTTTGAGCTGTCTGGCTCTCAAGAAGACTCACAAGGATACAACTGAAGATCTCCTAGAATTGAGAATACTCACTGTGAGAGTCCAGGGTCTTGTGCTCTCTCTGTCCCTTAGCCCACAGAGAATTTTCAAAAGGCAAGATAGGAGCTGTGCTGTCATAGATGTAAGACAGGCTCATACCTCACTCCAGCTTCCGCATTATCTAAAGCCTGAAGCCAGTATGGTGTCTCAGCTATTTCCCCTGTGCCCAGCCACCTGTCTGTCTCCTTTCCTCAAACTGTGCCAGTCCCAGCTTATACATTTCTGCCAAGCATAGCACACCCTGTGGGTATTAATGAATAACAACAGTTAGAATTTGAGTCTTCCTCAATACTTCCTGTTCTAAACACATGCCTAGCTCCTAAGGGCAGGACATGCTCACATCACTCAAGTGTCTTCTAATCTAGTATTTCTCTCTGAAAGTGCTTAGCTATGTCCCCATTCTAAGCCATACCCATCATCCCATACATTTCCTATATTCCTATACAAGGAACAGAGAACACAGCAGACTGTTAACATTCCAATGTACACAACATTTACCAAGTGTCCTGGAGCCAGTGAGAGAAACCTAGGGAAAGGGATCATGAAGATGGAATTCAGAGACGTAATTGGACATGGTGGCACACATTCTAGCACTTGAGAGATTGAAGCAGATGAAGAGCAGTTCAAGCCTACATCAGAGCTTGTCTCAAACAAAATAAAACAAAATACATTACTACATATTTACCAATTTTAGCCAGATCCCCATCCCCTTGCTATGTAATCAAAGAAGAGCTGTGTCCGCAGTGAAGTCCATATGACCTCTGGTCAGGTACTCTGCACCTTTCAGATGTACCTCATCTGCTCCCCTGCTTGGATGACTTACCAAATGTGGAGTGTGAGCAGTTCAACTGGGACCTGGGCTTCCCTGCAGGTCAGGCTTTGTTCTCATTGAGTTCTTCACTTAGATGTCATTTCAGCAGATTTTGTGTTGGGAGGGTAGGGGGTTATACCACACCACATGACAGGCTTGAATACCTGGTGCCAACGCTGTCGAAGGAAGCTCAAATCTCCCAAACCTGCACTTTTGCTCATTCATCACAAATCTCCAGTCAGCTTGAACAGGAAGTGAACAGAGATTGTTTCTGCTTTAGCATTTCACCATATACATTAACTACAGGTTCATGTTTTTTGTGCTAGCTAGCTTTTGTCTATATGGCTAAAAAAAATATCAAAAATTAAATATAATGAGAGATGGGCTGGGTAGGAATAAATACAAAGTACCCTTATATTTGCAGTTTCTACTGGGGGAAAGTCCTCAAGATTTAGACCTAGTGAACTTTAAGCATACACTACAGTGCAGCTGTCTGTGCTATTTTCTTGATGCTCTGTTTTAACAGAGAAACCAAATGCATTTCTCATGTGGTAGTTTTTACTACATTTGCAAAACCTGTGTAAAATAAATCTCATGTTTCCATGTACTTAGTGTGAGATTGTGTGCCTTTTCCTTCAGAGAGTGTTCTGGATTCACATTCTAGGATGGCAGAAGGGGATAATAAATGTAGAAGTAGAAAGGTTGGAGTTAAGGGTTGGGTTTAGGTCCTCCGCTGCTTTCATTGGAGGTCGGGACCCTCATGTGCCCTAGGACACCCCAGACTCACACTGCCTGCAAAGAGTGAGGGAGGCATAGTAGAGGAAACCTTTCATTCAAGAATATTTTTATCCTGCAATAGATACATTTTAACTTTTTTCCTTTATGGCTTATGTGCTTTGTATTTTCACAACAGTCTGTGGACTTTGACAAAATCTAGGCAATTTGATGCTAATGTCACCACCTACAATTTTTTTCAGGCTTAATTGGCCATTACGAGAAAGCTTCCTCCACTACTAACCCCTTTGTTTCCTTATGTTTTAAATTTTCTCATAACAGTTTCACCATGTTTAATCCACTCACCTGCACTCATCTGAACATATTTCTACTTCCCACTCTCTTCCAATTATGCATCATCAAGTCTCCCTTTTCTCACATTCTCTGCTGTCTGAAATCCTCTATGCTCTCTTCCTTGTCTCTGTTCTACTTGTTTGGAAGCCACAATTCTGTATCTTTGGTGCATATTTAATAACATCTACTCTGTAGCTCATCAAGAAGTCTGGCCTCTGAGAACATGACAGGTTTTGGCCACATCAAGACTCACTTCTATTGAGATTGAGGGGGCCCAAAGAGCCCTTCTGGATTTTCTTTGCTAAAGGCTAAGCCTTTACACTATTCTTCAGGCCGAGGAGGAAGAATCTGTCCCAAGTGGCAGCCTTCTCTACCCTAAGGCCCAGCAGAGCCATGTAGCCTTCTAGCCATCCCCAAGACAGATTGTTTCTGGATCCATGTGCTCACCAAGGAAGCTCTGAGATGATCTGGATTTCTAGAAGGAGTCTCTGTCTGCTCTTCACCTACTTGGAATCCATGTCTTCTCCCTTTCTCTGGGTGGGTGTATAACTGGCTTTGGGGACACTCTTCCTGCTTCGGGGTAGCAGAACCTTTACTCACTACTTTTATTTTTTTCTTTCCCTACCTTGGTCCTGGTTATTCCTTTGCCTGCCTATGAACTTACCTATACACTCAAAAGTATGCTTAGCATAGTCATCCAATGACCCCCAAGTGTTTTCTGAGCTTTGTCACTCTGTGGATTGCCAAAAACAAAACTCAAGATTCTCATTCTATTTATTCATTATTTATTCTTTTAGTTGAAAGGAAACAGAAGCTGAGTCATTTACTGAAGCAGTTCACCTCTAGCTAGGCTAGTTAACTGAATCTGTTAGGGAGCACCATGACTAAACACTCCACTACATAGTGGGCAGCAGTAGATGAGGGTTAGATAAGGTAACCAAGGAAAACTGCAGTTTTGTCTTGGCAGCTGTGTCTTCTGACTTTGCAGTTAAACATTCATGAAGCTGATATTCCTCCTGTTTTGTCATAAACTAAGGGGCCAGGACACTTCCCCAGTTGCAACTCCTACACTATGGGAGGGTCTGTATCTTCAAAAGATAATTTGATAACTTCATCATATAATTTTCATTGTTCTTATGACAGGTTACCTACATTGTTCTTTCATTTATTGAACATCTGCCCCATCACCCATTGATTTGGGAGATTCAGACTTTGTAGTGATGTTATGGGTAGACACACAACTCAGCAAAAGTGTATGCAGGAAAGGTGGGAAAAAAATAAGACCTGTTAGGGCAGAGTTGTCATACCTGATGGGTCTCTGTATCTGCAGAGGTAGGGGAACAAAGTTTCTGGCTGTTCTAGGTCCGCAACAACCTGATGCTTCGTTGCTTCCTTCAGCTGGAGGAATTCCATCAGCTGCTTTTTTTTTTTTTTTGCTTGCGTTTTTGTTTTCTTTGTAGCCTCTGTGTGCTATATGAGCAGCTACCAACCGCTCCACTGTGGTTCCACTGTCCTCAACACTCGAAATCTACTAGCTGTCTGAAACCTCTAGGGGATGAGGGCAAGGACACCAAGAAGAAACAAATACACGAAATATAAGTAGTGGGACCTTGAACACAAGACACAGTGAAGAGATGGAGAGGTGTGGAGAGACCAAGGTAGCTTCGGAAAGAAACTAAGCAAGGGCAAACCTAAGTAGGTGAATCCTGAGAGGCGGTGGGTACAGCAAGTACTACATAAAAAAAAGAGGGGCGAGAGAGGGCCAAACGTCAGTCGGCGGAGCCGGGCCTGATTCGTAATCCCTGTGTCAGCAGAAGCAGGACAAGCTTCCAAAGAATCTACCGAAAGATTGCCGGCACAGCGTCTTCAAGGTTACCCAGGTCCGGTCCTTCCGCCCAGACGCCGGAAACGGAAGTGACTACGCTGCACACTTCCGGTCCGGCTCTGGGCGGTGGAAGCCGAGGCGCGGACGGTGAGGAAGCTCTGCTTTGACAGCCTTGGGTCACTGTGCGGTGGGCGGGGCGCTGGGCCCTCGACTCTGGCACCGTGTACCCCTCAGTGGGTTTGTCCTTGGCTAGGGACAGCATCGGCCGAGGTTTCTGGCGGGATGCAACACTGTCTGGTGCGGGTCCCTGGGCGGGTTTGGGTTTGTCCTCGGTGTGCGTCCCTCCCATCCCCTTGGTCGGGGCTGTTTCCAGCCTCAGAGTTCCCTTTTGGCCCTGAAGCCTGAAATCTGACAGTCCTCAAGCTGCCGTTGGAGTCAGATTTGTTGGCGATCCCGTATTATTTTTTACTTTTTGATTCTCCATGTTCAGGTTTATGAGTGGATTCTTTTGCATCTGGCTTGTAACACTACCACTGGACTGCCTTTCACCTGTCAGCTGGAGTGGTTTGGTATTGAGTTTAATACCTGCCCTGCAAATAGAATTATACAAGTTTTAATGTTGGGAATGTTGAGGATAATATGTCAAACTAAAGGAAAAAAAAAAAAAGACTGCAATGAGTCAGCCCTGTTAGAAGTGGCCTGCTCAGATTTCCTATTTGTGTACGTGTAATTTTATAGTCAGAAGATGAAGATAGCGTTTGCAATGCTGTTCCACTTGAATGAAAAACGCAGAGAGAGAAATACACAGGGAGAAGCTACATAACTGGAAATGTACAATGGATTTTAGTGGTTTTCTGAAACTACTTGAGAATAGAGAGTGAAAGTGTCCAGAAGGTAGGTCTTTATCACATCTGTGGATGTTGAGTAGCTGAAATCAAAGGGAACAATGTTATTAATTCCCTCATTTGCTGGATAGTCAGCAATAGCCTGTGAAGGTCCATGACTAGGATAGCGTTGGATCTCAGATTGAAGGCTGATTGACCTAGCACATCTGTGCTTAGGGGAAACAAACTACTCAAGTAAGGACAATATATACCTTTTGCTGTCTTACCTTTGTGTTTAGAGGTGTTAAAAAATAAGAAGTGGAATCTTGGTTACCCAGATTCCAGTGGTAAGGAGTCATAAGACTCATTTTTTGCCCACTGGGCTGCTCAGGTGTATGTAATATAGTTGTTGTCTTCCAGTAACTACCCCATGTACATGGGCAGCAATGGGATGAACTCTAGAAATGAAAAGCTGGTCTTTTATAGGGCTAAGAATTGTGTTAGAGATTCCTTTGACATAGTCTAAGACCCTGTATAAATATTCTCTCTGTGTGACTGTCTTATGCCTGTGAGATATCCCAGCTTCTCTCTGTTAGGGTAAAATCTTCTTAGCAATTGAATTCTGAAGATTTGCAGTTTTGTTAAGGAGTTTATGACCCAAGTTCAGCTTTCATTTCTGGTTTACTAATTTAAATGTCATAGAAATTCTCCATTAGTTGCATGGTGGTGATCACATGACCTTTGCATGGTAAGTGTGGAGTCATCACTTCATTTTAACATTCCTTCTCCTTTGTGTATATAGTGTACTTGTGGTATGACATGTGCAAAGATTCTGCCTGCTTTTTGACTATGAAGGAGACAGACCTGGAGGCTGTTGCAACAGCAGTCCAAAGGGTTGCTGGGATGCTTCAGCGCCCAGACCAGCTGGACAAAGTCGAGCAGTATCGAAGAAGGGAGGCTCGGAAGAAGGCCTCTGTGGAGGCCAGGCTCAAGGTAGGAGACCATAGAAATGATGGGACAGAGCTATTTGTCTTCAGTTTCTGCTCCCCACTACCCTGCTCGCCTACAGCCCTACTTTATGAAAATATTTCTCAACTGAGGTTGACTCTATCTTGTGTCAAGTTGCTATAAAATTAGTCAACACAGTATAATATATAGTATATAGTATATAATGTATAATATATATGTGTATATATATACATATATATTTAAATCTAGATTCTGTATATGAAAGAAAATCCGATATTTTTGTCTTTCTTCTTACTGTTTTCTCTAGTTCTCCCAATGTGTCCGTGTGACTGTTCACTGCCTCTGGCTCTTACACATTGTCTGTTACCTCTTCCACAATGGTCCCTGACTGAACTTTTTTTTGGAGGGGGAGGTGAGGTACAGGAAATATGTTCCCTTTAGGGCTGAGCATTCTACACTTTCTTATTCTCTGCACCTTGGCTAGTTGTGAGTTTCCACGTTAAACATCATCCACTGAAAGTGAAAGCTTCTCAGGTGAGGATCAAGGGATGCACTGATCTGTGTAATGAAAGTCATTAGAAATCAATTTAATACTGTGTCCCTTTAGCAAAATAATAGTAGGTTCTTTCCCGAGGCCTGTGAACTGTTTAGCCATGGGTTCTTGGCTCAACAGTGATGCCAGGGGTGAGTTTTATCTTGTGGAGCTGGGTTTAAATCCAAGCAGAAAGTAGTTGTTTACTCCCATGGTGTTTGTGCCACGACTACACCAATAGACATGTCTTGACAGACCGTTCATTGTTGTAGCTCACAGAATTTACAGCTGAGTATGACTGATGGTTTCTTTTCTCTTCTGGTAGCTTGCATAGCACCCTCACAGCACTATAGTTATTCAGTAGGGATGAAGCTTCTGGGTCCGTAGCAGCCTCATTTTCCCAGGTTCTATCACTCAAGTATGAAGTATCTTCAACAACAGGTCTTTTACCATCAAGGTCTGGAAGCATAACTAAGAGCAATGCATTAGCCTTTAATGTTTGAGGTCTATGGGACCACACTGGCCAACAGCTCCAAAAGAAACAACCTGTTTCTGGCACTGGACTTTTTATTTGTTAGCCTCCAGTCTATTAGGGGCATTGTTGCCCTGTGACAGGCTTACTCCATGTCTTAGTTAGAGTTGTTGTTGCTGTGTTGAAAAACCATGACCAAAAAAACCTGGGGAGGAAAGGGTTTATTTGGCTTATACTTTCCACAGCACTGTTCATCACTGGAGGAATTCAGGACAGGAACTCAAACAGGACAGGATCCTGGAGGCAGGAGCCAATGCAGAGGGGTACTGGTGACTGACTTGCTCCCATGTCTTTGCTCAGCCTGCTCTCTTATAAAACCCAGAAATGGCACCACACATCATGGGCTGGGCCCTACCTCATAAATCACTAAGAAAATTCCTTACACCTTGGGTCTTATGGAGGCATTTTTTTCAACTGAGATTCCCTCCTTTCAGATGACTCTAGCTTGTGTCAAGGTGACATCACTCCGTTTTGACTCTATATTATGTCTGTTTAAGACATTTCTATAATAGTAGGTGTCCTTACGCCTTTCCCATTCTCTTTCTGCTGTACCCTCTGCTTCCTCTCCTCAGTTTAACCCTGCCCATTCTGTTATTTCCTTTTAGCCCTTTATAGTAATACATTCTGTCTTTCCTCCTATGAACAGCTCTCCTCATGGCCCCTTAGTAATTTCCTGACCTCTATGGGTATTTCAAACAAAATACACTTTTTTTTTTCCAGCATAAAATTGTTTTGTCTCTTTTGAGTCCTGTGCTTTTATAACAACTTTAGATTTGTTTTTTCAATTCTGTGAAGATTCCCATTGAGATTTTAATGAGGATTGCATGACTTTGCTTCTGCCCTTCTCACAGAATTAAATGAGCATAAGAGGTTTGTTCGTCTTCTAGTGTCTTCTTCAATTTCTTTCTTTAATGTTTTAAAGTTTATATTGCCGAGCTCCTTCTTCTCCTTGCTGATGTTTGTTCCTAGGTATATACTATTTGTTTTGAAGCTACTGTGAAATTTAAGAAAAAAACAAAAACAATTTCTTTCTTGGCAAGTTAACTATTAACTACTATATAGAAAAGCTACTGATTTGGTATGTTGATATTATATTCTGCTATTTTGCTGAAAGTGTTTATCAGGTCTGTGAGTTTCCTGGTGAGGTCTTTAAGGTCTTTTAAATATAGGGTTATGCCATCTGTAAATCAGGGTAATTTTACTTTTGTTCTATCTGTATTCCTCTTCTTTCTCTTGCCTCATTGCTCTACCTAAGACTTACAGCACTACAGCAAGAGTGAAGAGAGTAGGCACTTTTGGCTCATTCCTAGTTTTAGAGGAAATGCTTTGAGTTTTTACTCATTGGTATAATGTTGGCTATAGGTTTGTCATAAATACTTTTTATTTTCTTTCTGTTCCTAAATTCTTCAGGAATTTTATTGTGAAAGGTATTGAATTTATCTGTATCTATTGAGATGGATCATGTGATTTCTGCCTTTCAATCTTATTTATGTGCTGTCTTATATTTATTGGTTTGTGCTTTTAATTATTCTTGCATCCCAGGAATCAAGCCAATTTTCTTATGATAATGAACTTCTTGATAGGTTCTTGAATTCAGCTTATGAGTATTTTACTAGCAATTTTATTTCTTTTATGTTTATCAGGAAAGTTGATCTACTGTAATTTTCTTTGTTGTTGTGATTATTGTTATTCCTTAGACTACTGTTGTATCAAGGTAATACTCTGTTAATAGAATGATTTTGGTAGGGTTTTTTTTCTGCTTTCGGAAACAGTTTTGGGAGCATTGGTATTAGCTCTTCTTTAAAAGTCTTGTAGAGTTTAGTGAAGAATCTGTCTAGCCCAAGCTTTTCCTTGTTTGGAGTCTCTGTTCTACTTCTGTCTTGTGATTTGTTTTAGCTATGTTTAAGTTGTTTATGTTCCTTAATGTAATTTGGGTAAGTCATATGTATTTAGAAATTTATTCATTTCTTAGATCTTGCAGTTTGGGGGCCATAGCATTAAATTATGCCCTAGCGAGCCTTTGGAATTCCTTGGTATCTGTTGTTCCCCTTGTCATATCTAATTTTTATTAATTTGGGCCTTTGTTCCAATTTTGGTTACTTTGTCAATCTTTCTTTCTTTTTTTCAAAGAACTAACTCTTTGGTTGATTCTGTGTATTGCCATTTTAATTTCCATTAAAATGTCCTGATCCTGGTCTTTATTATTTTTTGCTGTTTGAATTTATCTTGTTCTTGTTTTTCTACGATCCTGAATTAGATCCTTAGTTAACTGGTTTGAGATCTCTGATTTTTTTTTTCATGTAAGCATTCAAAGCTGTGAACTTTTCTTAAGATAGCCTTAGCTATATCCTAAAGGTTCTGATAAACTGTGCTTTTATTTTCATTTACTAAGAATTTTTAAATTTCTACTCTGATTTTTTTTATGACCTACTAATCATTCAAGATTATTATATTTAGTTTCCCAATTATTTTTACAGATTCCGTGGTCTCTCTTTCTGTTGATTACTTATTTTATTCCATTGTGACCTAATAAGAAAAGAAATTATTTGAATTATTTGTTAAAACAAACTTACTGTATGGACTAAAATGTGATCTGTGTTGGAGACAGTTCCATAGCTTGATGAGAAGAATGTGTATTATTCAGATGTTGTCTTGAATACTCTGTAGAATCAGGTGTGTCTGACCTGTTAGGTGAAGCTATGAATGCCGACCAACATAAAATACTAAGGTTATTATTTAAAACAAGAAATTAAAAAACAATCCTATTGTGAAGTCAAGTGCCAGTTTTATAGCTAACAAATCATTTTGCAGTGTCAGTAATTAGGTATGCTTGTGTATAGATAAGCTTTTAAGTCTATTTGTTTTGTGGTATAATTTATTAATGAAGTTTCTTTATTGATTTTTAGTCTAGATGACCTATTGATAACAGTAGAATTTTTTTATTAAATGATTATTGAAGTTATCAGAACCTGTCTATCTATCTCTTTATATCCAGTAGTATTTTATAAAATCATGAGACTCATTATTTGGTACATATATATTTACAATTGTTATATCTTCTTGATGGATTGCTTCTTAATTAATACGCATTGGTCTTTATGTCTTATGGCTAGTTTTGGTTTTAAAACTACTTTATTAGATCTAAGAATAGTGGCCTAATTTTTGTGTGAAGTCTATTTTATCCTATTTCAGCTAAGGACCTTCTTTTCAGCTTTTATTTGTTCCAAATTAAATCAACTTCTGTCTTTCATTCTCAGTCTGTGAATATCCTTGCCCATGAGGTGTGATTCTTGGAGATAATAGATACTTGAATCTTGATTTGTTTGTTTATTTGTTTTCCAGTTCAGTCTGTTAGTTTGTATCTTTTAATTGGAGAATGAATATCATTTTTATTGAGTTACTGAGAGCAGTTTGCTGGTTACTGTAATTTTGTTGGTTATTTTTTTAGTCACTTGAACTGTTTGGTCTTTGCTTTCTCCCCACCCAGGTAGAGTTTGCTGGTTTACTGAGCTGGATATGATAGTATCTTTGATCTCCTTTGTTAATCTATTCCTTTTGAAATTTATTCTTTTCTGTAATCTCCTGAATGAAACCGCCTTTTTCTCTGCTTTCTGCTTATGAATCTTTTAAAGTATTATTTAAGCTTTAAAATATGACATTGTTCTGTTCCCAGCCAGTATTGAAAAAAACAAAAAGTTACTATATAAGTCCATTAAATTATTCTTTTGTCTTTTTTCTTCCCTAAAATTGGGTAATTTTTGAAAATAGTTCTTTCTGAACTTGATCCTCCCTGGAGAAATGTATTCCTCTGGAAATCATGTATGGCTATCATTGGCTTTGCTTACCTGCATGGTTTCTCCTTTAGGCTGCAATCCAGTCTCAACTAGATGGGGTACGCACAGGCCTAAGCCAGCTCCACAATGCATTGAATGATGTCAAGGATATCCAGCAGTCACTGGCTGATGTCAGCAAGGACTGGAGGCAGAGCATCAACACCATTGAGAGTCTCAAAGATGTAAAAGATGCAGTGGTTCAGCACAGCCAGCTGGCTGCAGCTGTGGAGAACCTCAAGAACATATTCTCTGGTGAGTGGCAGATAGGAAAGGGGAATTGGGGGATGATTGGGGTGGCTCTAGAGCACTCGTGATGCTATCTTTCTATACACATGCTTTTCCTCTAAACACTGGGAGCTCTGAGAGATTAGTAGGGGCAGACCAGCATTTCTTTGCTATAAACTTTTTAGGCCTTTCCTTGAGTGAACAGTAAGCTTGATTCTGCCTGCTCACATAACTTCTCTGAACATGAATGGAAAAGGTCAGTTGAGCAAATGTAAATAAGGACCAGTGGAGAGCATACTGACCTGTGTCTGGGTGCTGCACAGACACACACTGCAGAGCCAGTGATTTTAGCCGTGGATGAGTGACTAGGAGTCTACTGCACAAGAGTAGAGGTAGAAGTACATGTTCTTTAGAGGGGCAGCTCCCTAGGCAGGATGGGAGGCAGACCCTGAGACAGAGGAGCTGGGAGAAGAGCAGTTCTTAAGCTAGGACAAATAAATGCACAGCCCAGGGAACAGGTGAGACGAGAGCCATTTGGGCAGAACAGGGCAGGTCAGGAGTCTCTCAGTGTGACAGCCAGAGCTGTGAGGATCCTGGAAAAGAGGCAGAGGCTGACTGACTGGCCAGAGTTGGTACTGTGTTATGGAATGCAGAATACTCCACAGCTCATTCATGAACAGTGTCAGCTGTCTCCAAACACTGAGCTAGTTCTTTACGTGTTTGGCCAATTAATTAGTGATGTGACTGGGATAGGGTTTTTCTTTATAGAGAGATCTGTTTAGATTTTCTACTGCTTTGTTTTTCAGTCAGGTAGATTTTGTATCCAAAAAAAATTTTGATCTGAGTTGCCTAGTTTCTTGGTGTTCAGTTTTTCACTGTTCGCTTTTACAGTCTCTTTTTCAATTTCTGAAGAATTAGTAATAATACTCCTACTTTTGTATTTTAATTAGACTCTTTTGTCTTAGACCATTTGAGCTAAGGGTTTGCCAGTTTCCTTAATCTTTTCAGAGGACCAGGTTATCTCTATTGGTTTTTATATGCTCTGCTGTTTATCTGTATTCTGATCTCCATTATTTCCTTCCTTTTGGTTTTGGGTTTAGTTACTCTTTTTTTAAAAGATTCATTTATTTTATGTGTGTGAGTATTTGCCTATATGTATGTATGTCTACCACATTCATGCCTAGGACTTGCAGAAGTCAGAAAAGGGCATTAGAGTCCCTGTTGCTGGAATTGTAGGTAGTTGTGAGCCTCTGTGTGGGTGTTGGGAAGTGAATTGGGTTCTCTGTAAGAACAGCAAGGGCTCTTAACCACTGAACCATCTCTTTAACCTGTCTCCTTTTACCAGATCCTTAAGTTGTAAAGTTGGGTAACAAGTTTGAGAACTTTTTTTTCAATTTAATTTTATTTTATTAATTATTTTATTTATTTACATTTCAAATGTTGTCCCCCTTCCTGGTCCCCCCTCCATAAGCCCCTACTCCATCCTCCCTCCCCTTCACCTCTAAGAGGGTGCTCCCCCACTCACCCATCTACTCCCACCTCACCCCTCTAGTATCCTCCTCCTCTAGGGCATCAATTCTTCACAGGACCAAGTGCATCCCCTCCCACTGAGGCCAGACAAGGCAGCCCTATGCTACATATGTAGCAGGAGTGGGAGGGATCACGGACCAGCCCATGTATGCTCTTTGGTTAGTGGCTTAGTCTCTGGGACCTCTGAGGAGTCTGGTTAGTTGGTACTATTGTTCTTTCTATGAGGTTGTAATCCCTTTCAGCTCCTTCAGTCCTTCCCCTAACTCTTCCATAGAGGTCCCTGAGCTCAGTCCAGTGGTTGGCTGTAAGTATTTGCATCTGTCTCAGTCAGTTACTGATAGAGCTTCCCAGAGGACAGCCATGTTAGGCTTCTGTATGTAAGCACAACATAGCATCAATAATAGTGCTAGCCATTGCTGTCCTCCCATGAAATGGATCCCTAGTTGGGGCAGTCACTGCACAGCCTTTCCTTTAATCTCTGCTCTACTTTTGTCCCTGCTTTTCCTTTAGACAGGAACAATTCTGGGTCAAAAATTTTGAGATGTGTGGGTGGTTCCATCCCTCAACTTTGGGCTATGTCTAGTTATTGGAGGTGGTCTCTTCAGATTCTGTATCCTTACTATTAGGCATTTCAGCTAAGGACTTTCTAGAGGTTTCCCCTGTCCCACACCCTACACTGCCACATACTTCTATTCATTCTCCTAGCCCTCTGGGCTTCTCTACTGTCTCCCTCCCATACCTGATCCTGCCACTCTTTTTTTCCACCTCTTCCCCTCTCCCACCCAGGTCTCTCCCTCCCTCTGCTTCTCATGATTATTTTGTTCTCTATTCTAAGAGGGATTGAAGTATTCACACTTGGGCCTGCCTTCTTGTTAAGCTTAATATGGTTTGTGAGTTCTATCATGGGTATTCTGGATTTTTTGGCTAATACCATTTATCAGTGAGTACATACCATATATGTCTTTTGGGGTCTGGGTTACCTCACTCAGGATGATATTTTCTAGTTCCATTCATTTGCCCACAAAATTCATGATGTCTTCAATTTTTAATAACTGAGTAATATTCCATTGTGTAAATGAACCACATTTTCTGTATCCATTCTTTTGTTGAGGGACATCTGGGTTGTTTCCAGATTCTGGCTATTATATATAAGGCTGCTATGAACATAGTAGAACACATGTCCTTGTGATATGCTGTACCATCTTTTGGGTAGGTATATGTCCAAGAGTGGTATTATAGCTGGATCTTGAGGTAGAACTGTTCCCAACTTTCTGAGAAACTGACAAATTGATTTCCAGAGTGGTTATACGAGTTTGCACTCCCACCAGCAATGGAGGAATGGTCCCCTTGCTTCACATTCTCACCAGCAAACCCTTGAGGTTTTGATAAGATCAAAATGGCTAAGGCCGTTCTGACTGGGTATAAGGTGGAATCTCAGAGTCGTTTTGATTTGCATTTCCCTGATGACTAAGGATGTTGAATATTTAAGTGTTTCTCAGTCATTAGAGATTTCTCTGTTTAGTTCTATACCCCATTTTTTAATTGGGTTATTTGAGTTATTGGTGTCTAACTTTGTGAGTTCTTTATATATTTTGGATATTAGTCCTCTGTGAGATTGTCATTTTGTCCTATGGACTGCATGTCCTTTGCCTTACAGAAGCTTTTCAGTTTCATGAGGTTCCATTTGTTAGTTGTTGATCTTAGTGCCTAAGCTATGAGTGTTCTGTTCAAAAATTTGGTTTTGTCATAGAATATCTTGGTATCTCCATCTATGGAGATTCAAAGTTTTGCTGGGTATACTAGTCTGGGCTGACATTTGTGGTATCTTAGGGTTTGCAAGACAGCCGCACAAGCCCTTCTGGCTTTTAAAGTCTCTGTTGAGGAGTTAGGTGTAATTCTGATAGATCTGCCTTTCTAAGTTACTTGGCCTTATTCTCTAGCAGCTTTTAATATTATTTCTTTTTTCTGTACATTTAGTGTTTTAATTGTTATGTGGCAGGAGGATTTTCTCTTTTGGTCCACTCTTTTTGGTGTCTGTAAGCTTCTTGTATGTTTATAGGCATGTCTTTCTTTAGGTTGGGGAAATTTTATTCTAAGATTTTGTTGAAGATTTTTTCTGAGTTGGGAATCTTCTCCTTCTATTCCTGTTATTCTTTTTTTTTTTTTAAAGTGTGTGGCATAGATCTAACTGTATTTATTTTTTTTTAAAGATTTATTTGCTTTGTTTTTTTTTTAAACTTTATTTATTTATTTATTATAAGTACACTGTAGCTGTCTTCAGACACCCCACAAGAGGGCATCAGATCTCATTGCAGATGGTTGTGAGCCACCATGTGGTTGCTGGGATTTGAACTCATGACCTCTGGAAGAGCAGTCAGTGCTCTTAACCACTGAGCCATCTCACCAGCCCCTATTCCTGTTATTCTTAAGTTTGGTCTTTTCATAATGTCCCAAGTTCCCTGGATGTGTTGTGTTAGAAATGTTTTAGCTTTAGCATTTCTAGATGTATCAATTCCTTCTGTTATATTTTCTACTCCTGGGATTCTAACTTCCATCTCTTGTATTCTGTTGGTGGTGCTTGTGTCTGTATTTCCTGTTCTCTTTACTAAGTTTTCCATCTCCAGGATCCTCTCAGATTGTGTTTTCTTTATTGCTTTTATTTTCATTTTCAGGTCTTGAACTGCTTTGTTTATTTCTTTCACCTGTTTGATTGTATTTTCTTGTATTTCTTTAAGGGATCTGTTCATTTCCTTTTTAAAAGCCTCTGTCATTTTCATAAGATTAGATTTAAGGTTATTTTCTTTCAATTCAGCTGTGTTAGAATCTTTGCTCTAGTGGGATAGCTGGATTCTTGTGGTTCTGTATTGTCCAGGTTTTTGTTGATTGTATTCTTATGCTGGCCTTTAGCCATCTGGTTTTCCATGAACAGAAATGACTCAGAAAGCTGTAACAACTTAAGTCAGTCAAAGCATGGATGCCAGCTCACATAGCTGGGATCTCAGAGCACATTGCACAGCTTTCAGGCAGCTCAACAGGTTAGGGAGTGTCCTTCCAGGTGGCTCAGCTAGTCTTTGTTTCTTCTAGGGACCCTGCTGGTCTTTGTTCCTTCTAGGCAATTCATCAGGTCTCCTTCATATGGCTGGGCTTGAGTGAGAGTCCCTAGTTTTTACTGTATTGCATAGATCCTCAGTTTGTTCACACACTTTCTGCTTGTTTTGTCCTTACTGAGAGAAGATACTGGTCTCCAGTGATCCTAACAGAGCCATGCCTTTCCCTTCAGTTGTATCAGTTTTTGCTTCATATATTATTGTAGTCTGTTTGAGGTGCAGAAATGACAATAATTGTCATAACTGTAACTGTACCATCTTGTTAATAGACCCTTCTGTTATATCCTCCTTCAATTTGCTTAAAGCTGTTTTGTCTCATGTAATACTGCTTTTGACTCTGTTACTATTTACACGAGCAATCTTTCTTTAATAGTCTCAGCTTAAGGGTAGTCTTTTGTAGACATGTATGGTTGAATCACTTTTTAAAAATTATGTTTATTTTATGTGTATGAGTGTTTTTCCTACATGTATACATATGCACTATATGCAATGCTTAGTGACTAAAGAGGTCAGGAGACAGTGCAGGATTCCTTGGAACTAGAGTTATAGATGTTTGTGAGGGTTACAGGATGGATGCTGGGAACTGAATCCAGGTTCTCTGGAACAACTACAAGTGCTCATAAATGTTGGATCATCTTCCTAGCTCATGATTAAATCACTTTTAAAATGTTTTTTTTTCTACTATTTATTTTGATTGGAGAATTTAAACTGCTTATAGTTAAAATAAATACTAGTAAGAAAGGGTTTTACTGTTTGTTTTTCATATGCTGAACTTTTTTGTTCCTTATATCATATACTATAGTTTTTATGTTTTTTCTAATGAAATACTTAAGTTCCCATTTTTCTTTTGTGTTATGTATTTAGATATTTTCTTTGTGGTTACTGTAGGACTTGTGTTATGTATTTAGATATTTTCTTTGTGGTTACTGTAGGACTGACATCTAGTGTCTTGAAATTGTTATCACCTCCAGATTGAATTTATACCATCGTGAATTCACTAACATGTAAAAACTTTATTTCTATCTAACTTCATCCTACCCCTCTTCACTTTCTTCTTTATACTTTGTATATGTCCAAAAATGAACTGATACTCTGTTAGTCAGGCCTTTTATGGCTAGGTTTATGAAAATTGACAGTCTTTCATAGTCTCCAGAGTTTAAAACCATTAGGATCTGTCAGGGCTGCTCTCCAGGTGGGAAGATGGATGCCAGGTGCCTCTTGCTTTACCTGCTGTCATCTATATGCGTTTTCACCGAGTCGACTTGTACCTTTTTTTAGTGCCTGAGATTGTGAGGGAGACCCAAGATCTCATCGAGCAAGGAGCCCTCCTGCAAGCCCACCGGAAGCTAATGGATCTGGAGTGCTCACGGGATGGGCTAATGTGTGAGCAGTACCGCATGGACAGTGGGAACAAACGGGATATGACCCTCATTCATGGCTACTTTGGTAGCACACAGGGACTCTCTGATGAGCTGGCTAAGCAGCTGTGGATGGTGCTGCAAAGATCACTGGTCACTGTCCGCCGGGATCCTACCTTGCTGGTTTCTGTGGTCAGAATCATTGAAAGGGAAGAAAAAATTGACAGGCGGATACTTGATCGAAAAAAGCAAACTGGGTTTGTTCCTCCTGGAAGGCCCAAAAACTGGAAGGAAAAAATGTTTGCTATCTTGGACAGAACTGTAACAACTAGAATCGAAGGTACACAGGCAGACACCAGAGAATCTGACAAGATGTGGCTTGTGCGCCACCTGGAGATCATTAGGAAGTATGTCCTGGATGATCTCATCATTGCCAAGAACCTCATGGTCCAGTGCTTCCCTCCTCACTATGAGATCTTTAAGAACCTCCTGAGCATGTACCACCAGGCCTTGAGTACTCGGATGCAGGACCTTGCGTCGGAGGACCTTGAGGCCAATGAGATTGTGAGCCTCTTGACATGGGTCCTAAATACCTACACCAGGTAGAATTGCTTTTATGCCTACATGTCTTTTTATCTAGAAACTTCCTTTTTTCTGCTTTTGCATACTGACCAACCATTTACAAACAATCTTATGCATTTTGAACCCATGTCTTTTTCTGGCTTGTGAAGGTCTTTCTGTTCTGCCTATTGGTGACTTATCCTTGAGGATGAACTAGCCTGTCATGTTGGTACAGTATTTCTTCATGGTCTCTCCCATCTCCCTTGAGCACTCAGTTGTGCACCATGGTGTTGATTATTTTCTGTGGTCACTATGTGCATTCTTGCTTCTTCACAGTGATTTCCTGAGACAAATATAGTATGGGAACGTTTTGTAGGTTGGGAGCATATAGCCCTAGGAAATTCAGTGACATTTCCAGAGTCAACAGGTTGGTGAAGAGATCACAGGCCTTGTTTTTCTCACCAGTACACTGTAACAGTTAATCATTCAAATATAAACAGTTGTACAACAACTTAGTAGCCTATACCTGTAGTTCCCGAACTCAAGAGACTGAGTAGAAAGATGATCTGAGCACAGCCTGAACAGAATAGCAGGACCTATCTCAAAAATAAAGAAATAGCAATGAGAATATATAGAAAAATATGTAAACTCTATGGAAAGATCAGTTATTCATTTTGCATTGCAGCTTGAGACTATTGTTTTATGTGAAGGAACGGAGCCACTTTATGCATGAAGTAGTTAAAGGTGGACTTTGAAAGAAATGTCAGTGGAAGGCTATTGTGAGATGCTTTAAGATTAGGTAATTAAAACAGTTATTAATTTTAACTTTACTGTTATGGATAGAAAACTGCTAAATAATATACTGAAATTTTTTTATTTTTGCCCTTCTTGTTACCATGGAGAAAGAAAGCATGATTTTAACAGTGAGGTTTATTTTGTGTATATGTGATTTTAACTGTTTATAGTAGAGTCTTTCTGTACCTCAATACAGAGTGCTATAAACAGAAAGAAATTGTTACACGTGGATGATGATCATTATTTGGTAATTTTTAAAAACATTTATTACTCTTAATTATATGGAGGTATGTATGTGTTTACATATAGTTATGTATATGTGAATGCAGGTGCCTTCAGATGCCAGAGGTAAGTTCTCTGAAACTGGAATTACAAATGGCTGTGAGCTGTCTGACATGGGTGCTGAGAAATAAACTAAGGTCCTCAGAAGAACAGAAAGTACTTTTAACTACTGAGCCATCTCTCCAGCCCCATTATTTTGTAGCATTTATACGTATAGTCCTGGACTTTATGCCTTTATCACTTTATGAGGTCCAAATAGTCTCTATTATTCCATTCTGTAGTCATTTACATTGTAAGGCCTAGACCATAGTATGTCATGTGTCCTAGACTTTTGTGAACCCAGTTGAATGTACATGAGACAGGTGGTATATATACTGTGATCACCTCCATTTGGTACCTGAGGCACAGAGGGAATAATATTTTTACTTGTCATAGCTAGTGACATGGGAGCAAGATTCAAAGCTGGTGTCTGGGTCCTTATCCAGTTCTGTGTACTGGACTATGATGCATGTTTATGGAACTTGCACAGCTCTCTGGCTTAATTTTCTTTCTCTTGAGACATGCTGAAAGTATCTTTGTTCTTAAGAATTCTCTTCACATTGATCATTTATGCTTTATTACACTGGACTCTGAAGAAGTTGAGCCATTTTTCCTCTGTAAACACAGGGCATTGAGGTTTTGGTGCTAGATAACCAAGATTAAACAAGTAGTCTTTTAATATGTGCAGGTTTTTATGAAGTTCTTTTTCACTCAGAAAGAATGCTATTTTAGCCGGGTGGTGGTGGTGCACGCTTTTAATCCCAGCACTTGGGAGGCAGAGACAGGCAGATTTCTGAGTTCGAGGCCAGCCTGGTCTACAGAGTGAGTTCCAGGACAGCCAGGGCTATACAGAGAACAGAGAAACCCTATCTCGAAAAACCAAAAACAAAAAAACCAAGAATGCTATTCTAAATAATATATTTGAGTATGTAATATAACGCGTATCAGTGTTGTAAGTAATGAGTCCTAGACTTTTGTGAGTCCAGTTGCATGCACAAATATATTTTCTATGAAACTTAGCATTTGTTTCCTTGCCTTCTACACAATAAAATGAGTGTTATCTTTCTTTCCTTGCAAACATGTTTCCTTTGGTAACATTTATTTCTTGCCTCAGTCTCACCCTCCTATAGGGATTAGTGACTTATGACAGTGCTTAGTGTTCCAAATAACAGTACTTGCCCATTATCTTCTTACTTAATGAAGTGTGACAATTTGACAATCTCTGTTTGCATGGTCCTGGTCTCAGCCCTAGAGACACAGTGAATTCAGACAGACAGACCTTTGCAGACTGTTTCCTGCATTTGAATGCAAGCTCCCTGTGCTTCTGGCAGTGTGAAGAAGCCATATTGAGATTACATAAGTGGCTGTGTAGCCTGCATGGTGACATCATGGAGTGGCCCCAAATACTTGACCTTTCATTCTGTGTTTTCCATTCATGAGGCCTTCTGTTCTTCCTTATTTTGTGGAGTTACAGAAGTGTCAGCATTGAGATCTCTAGGATAATGCATTTACATGTCTAGCCAAACATGTAGATTCACTTGAGAGTGTTATTTGAGTGTTCTGCTATGGTTTGTCATTTACACCTGCTTTTCACTGCAGTACAGAGATGATGGGGAATGTGGAGCTAGCCCCAGAAGTGGACGTTAGTGCCCTGGACCCTCTCCTCTCTCCAAATGTGGTCTCTGAGCTGCTTGACACATACATGTCAACCCTCACGGTAAGTAGAATTGGGTTGCAGGCCCAGAAAGTGCTGTGGTGGCTGTCTGTAATGTGGTGAGACATATGAACTAACTCTTCTCAATAGACTAGCTGTTCTTCAAATGGTCTGGGCATGTTCATTTTCTGTAAAAGAAGGGATACCTGACTCTGACCTGGGTCTGGAGCTCATTTGAATGTATTTCACAGATAGGTGAGTCTTTTCTGCTGGAGGGGACAACCTGTGCCACCTATTTGGCTCGAAAGGCTTTATGTCTAAGGGTGCATGAGCCACCTTAGCATCGTATTCCAGTGTGAGGTGGGAATTTTGGGACAAAGGGGCCAGTCCCACATCAACCTCATAACCATTAGACAGTCTCAGTAAGACGGAAGAGGCAGCAAGATGGCATCTAAGCCACTACTGAGAATCCCTGGGTTCTGCAGAGCTGTGTTCTGCTATGGCCTGAGCTGTCTGGGCTGCCAAGTCTGTTCTCTAAAGTCCTGGGCCTAACCATCAGATGCTGGACATCTGGTTTTGTCCTCCAGCATAATGTTCATCAATAGCCCTCTTGATCCTTTCCCTCTTTATCTATAGTTAGTGTTTTGGAGGTCCACATACAGAAAGACCAGCATGAGCATTGCATACCAGTGAACTGCATATGAAGTGCCTGCTCTAGCAGGCTCTATGCTTGGAAGCAGGGTTTGCTGTGAAAAGCTGTATCTGGTCTATACAGCTACAAGTGCTATAGGGAAAATGTTGGTATACTTCAGAGCCTGTTTTTTTCTTTCCCATAATACCAAACTTGTAGTCCAACATCATTGCCTGGCTTCGGAAAGCACTGGAAACAGACAAGAAAGACTGGAGCAAAGAAACAGAGCCAGAAGCAGACCAGGATGGCTACTATCAGACTACACTTCCTGCTATTGTATTCCAGGTATAAGCGCTAGATTTAAAGTTCCCAGTTCCCATGTGGTTAATTGGATCTGTTGGTTTTATAGACAGAAAATACCTTAGACTTCACAATGTGGATGTCAAGAACATGCTTTTCCTGATATCTCTGTCTCTACTTTTTAGAGCTAAAGAAACTGAGGCTCAGAATTACAGCAAGTAGTGTTATCCAGGATCACTTGAGATTTTCCAGAAGATCTTTTTGGGTCTGAACTGGAAGTTGATTATATTGGTTGTACCTGGTGCTCCTGTTCTGTTCTCTTTTACATTCCATGTTGGTAAATGGTTAAGACTTGTGTTTAAAATGCCACATAATTGAGTTTAATCTTGCACATAAGTGAACATAACTATTCTCATGACCCCACCTCTTTGTCAGCCCTCTTGTCACACTTTATCACCTCATGGTTATAATCAAAGGGTAAATATTTCCCTGTGATAGAACTCAGGCTGAAGGTAACTAGAAAATCGTGTGGTGGGCTTTTTTGCCCCTTAGAGAAATTGTTTAACTTTATTGTTTTTCAGATAATTTTATTGTTTTCTTTGAATTTGGACTATTCCAACTGCCAGATAATTTTTTTTATTAATTATACTTTCTTTTTTGAGATTATAATATATCATTTCCTCCTTCCATTTTCTCCTTCTAGACTGTTTCTTTTTTCTTTTTTTTTTTTTCTGCAGTTGGGTCCTTTATTTCTTTTATACACAAGGCCATGAATTCGTATGGAATGGGCTCCAGCAGCTCGGGCTCTTTCCCATTAGTCCTCACAAAGTGTGCTTCTCTGGGTGGTGCAGGCTGGCACTTCAGCTGAACCCAGGTGCCCTTCTCTTTGACTTCCTTTTTCTTCTGATCGTTCTCCTTCACCCGCTTCAGAAAGCTGTCTCTGCTCTTCGAGTGTTTAATATGCTCAATCCGCACGTTGATCCTCTTGGCCAGAATCTTGCCCTTAACTTGCTTGTTAACAGTGATGCCCACGGCATGCTGGGTGACATTGTAGACTCTTCCGGTTTTGCCGTGGTAACACTTATGGGGCATTCCTTTTTGAACAGTACCCATTCCCTTGATGTTTACAATATCACCCTTCTTATAGACTCGCATGTATGTGGCCAAAGGAACAACTCCATGTTTCCTAAAAGGCCTAGAGAACATATACCGAGTGCCTCTCCTCTTTCCCTTTGTGTTGGTCATTTTGGCGAGTTAACTGGAAGATGGCTTTCTGGACTGTTTCATATACCCCTCCATACTCTTTCAAATTCATGGCCTCTTTTTTATTAATTGCTGTTATATATTTATGTGTATGACTATACACATATGTTTAATGTCATGAATATATCCTGCTCAGTCTGTATAATGTTACTTGTATGTATGTTTTTAGAGCTCACCATATTAGATAACCAGTTGGTGTCTTCTTCCTTAGGAAGACTATTTCTCCTACTCTCAGCATTCCATAATTGCCCCTAGTTCTTTGTCTAGAGTTAAGGCCTCATGAGCTTTCTCTCATCCAAGTTAGCATGTCTGTTGGTACTGTCCTTGTTCACGGCATGTTTTGGCAGCCGTATTGTGAGGCTTCACAGGTATAACTTCTGAAATTTCTAGGAGACACAGTCTCACAGCAAACTTCCTGTTTCTTTGGCTCTTGTAGTCTTAACTCCTCCTCTTCCACAGTGATCCCTGAGCCTTAGGTACAAGAGTTATGTTGTAAATGTATCAGTTGGAACTGGGCTCCACAATTCTGTGTTTTGATTAGTTATAGTTTTCTGTAATGATCTCCATCTCTTGCAAAGAGAAGTTTTCTTGAAGAAAGGTGAAGCCTACACTTACCTGTACTTAGTCACTATTCTCCTTTGCTGGGAAAAGACACCAACCATATAGATGCCACTACAACATCTGTACCCTTCAAAGGCTTCATCTAGATCTGTTGAGATGAGCATGTAATTTTTGTCTTTAAATCCATTTATGTGGTTTCTTAAATTTATTGATTTGTGTATGTTGAACTATCCCTGCATTTCAGGGATTAATCTAACTTGGTCATCTTTTTGATGTATCTGTATTCGCCGCAAATATTGTATCAAACAGTTTGAATCTGTGTTCATTACACATATTGGGCTTTAGTTTTGTTGTTGTTGTTGTTGTTACATGGTTTTGGTCTTAGAGTGATACTAGCTTGATAGAAGTTCTCCCTCCCTCTCTCCTCTTCTTCCTCCTCTTCCTCTTCCTCCTCTTCTTCTTCCTCCTCCTCCTCCTTCTTGCTCCTCCCCCTCACTCCCTTGCTCCCTCTTCTCTCCCCTCTCAAATTTTAAAAGAATGGTTGGCTGTAGAGCTTCATCGAAAGTCTGGTATAATTTGTCTGTGAATCCATCTGATCCTGGACTTTTTATTATTATTTCAATTTTATCATTTGGTATGAGTTGTTGACTTCTTCTTGGATTAATTTTGATGGTTTTGCTAAATCTAGAAATTAATTTCTTTTAGATTTTTCATCTTAATAGAGTACAGATTTTTAAAGTATTCCCTTATAATAAGCTGAATTTCTTTGGTATCTATTATATTGTTTCCCTGTTCATTTCTGATTCTATAAGTTTGAATCTTCTCTTTCTTTTTCTTTATTTTTATTGAATTCTGTTCTTCAAGTCCTGGACCATCTTCAGCATTTTCATTAGCCTTATATTTCTATTTTCTTGGGCATTATTCAGTTCTTTGTACATAATTTCATTGGGCTGCTTCTTTAAGTTCCTTGAATTCTTTGATAAAGTTTATGTGTTCTTTTGAATTCTATTTCTTGAGGTTCATATAGGTAATTCTTATTGAAAAACATTTCTATAAGATATGGTAGATTTTGGAGGAGAGACAAAGGCTTGATCTTTCATATTGCTTGTATTTTTGTGACGAGTTCTAGGTGTTCTTTTGTTAGCTCTGTGTCTGATGTGACAGAGCAGGTTGTGGTAGAAGAGAGGACAGGATACATAGGCAGGTTGGGTCTAGAGGCTGGAAATTGTTTGGTAGGAATGAAAGCATGTGGACAAAGGAGACTGGACTGCTGTGAAGGATGTGTGTTCTGGTCCAAGCTTGGGATGTGAGAGTAGATCTGGCTCAGTGAGAGGTTGAATATTGTGTGGTAGGGGCCTGTGAGTCAAGAGTAGGCAGAGTGGATCATGGGAGATGCCTAGAGGTTGTTTGAGGTGCAACAGGGGTGACCAGACTAGGCCAGGGCACTAGACAAGGGCTCCAGGTTAGTTCTAGCAGATTGGAGAAGATGTGTCAAGCAGACAGAGTCAGGCAGACTAACCAGTGTAGACCTTGGAGAAGGATGTCCCAGGTAGGATTTTATTAATGGGAACATTGTTCTATGCTCTTGTGAGATGTTTTATAATTCTTAATGCCATGTTCTTTTATACTATTGTTCTCCTTTTGTGTCTCCCTTTTTCAATTTTTAGATGTTTGAACAGAATCTTCAAGTTGCTGCTCAAATAAGTGAAGATTTGAAAACAAAGGTATTGGTTTTGTGTCTTCAGCAAATGAATTCTTTCCTAAGTAGGTATGTATTTTTGCCAGTAATCTACATTACAAATTATGTGTTAAAAATAAGATCAAAATTTGTTGATTCTAGGATGCTGTTATTAAAAGGTTAGCCCCCCTTTGTTGTTCAGAAATGCAAAAATATTTTAAAAAGAGGAAGAAAATGTAAAAATGAAGACATCTTAATCAGATGGGACTTGTGACATACTGTTTCCCAGTGGGCCTTTCTCTGTGAATTGTTCACTTAAAGATGTTCAAGTCTAGAGAGAAGAATCTTATGAAATCTGTCCTCCCTTCATACTGCCCAAGTCTTATAGGCCATCCTCACATGCCCTGTTCTATTATACTATTATATTACTATAATAGTATATTATATCTATATTATATACTATTGCTCCCATCTGTCACTATGATGCCCAGATGTTGCTGTCCATGTCCCAGATTCTCTGTTATAACCACAGCAATATCAGTCATGTAGTGGGTAGCTGACATCATCTATTAGAGTTCATAGTCTCAACTGCTAGGTTGGCAGGTCTGTGTGTCATTGTGGTCTAAACCTGTAGGCTTCTGGAGCATGAAGACTGCCCCCTCCCTCCTCACCAGGAACTGCTCCAGAGGCTGGCATGGATCTCTTTTTACTTACCAACACGTCTTCAACATTAGTGGTCATATGTCATATCTCTGAGACAGCTCAGTTGCCAGCCAGGCTCCTCCCTCCCTTAGAATCCCATCTGCTACCCACCTAGGGGGCCATGATTCAATTCTTCTCAGTCACAAGGTCATAACTGATCTCCATATTCCATCCATAGAATTATAGCTGAGCTCCTCAGCCCATTGATGGGGTCATTGCCCAAGTATCCCAAGGCTGTCACTTTGCAGGGTCACTTCCAAGTCAGTCACTTCATTTTTGAGGTGGGATCTTCTATAAAGAGGATTTTTCCTTGGTTAATCTGGAACCGCAGATGGGCAAAATCATAATAAATGTGTAGATCATCCCCATTAATTAACAGTTTAAGGTTAATGTGTCAGAAAATTATACAGAATGGAACAGTGGCTTCCTACGTGTTTTCCAGATATTGCAAGACTAGTTATTTTTTGTTTCATTTCTTCATAGCGTTTTGAAAAGGGACGTATATGATAATGATTCTCACAGTACTGAGGGTTTTGTGGAGTGGAGTGGGGTACTGTGCCATGGTGTACATGTGAAAATCAGAGGACATATGGTCATATGAACCAACTTTGTGCAGTTGGTTCTCTCCTTCTATCTTTACATAAGTTTCAGGAATCTACCTCAGGTGGACAGGCTTTTGTGGCAAGTACCTTTACCTACTGAGTCATCTCTCTAGTCCTGTTATATGAGTTGTGGGGTGAACTGTTAATTAAATACTGAGATACTTTTCTAGTTATAGTTATGTGCTTCACAATATCTTCATGTCAGAATACAAAACCATATTTCAAAGCCTGCTATAAAAATTATCTTTAAAATTCATTTAACATGATTGATTCTCTTCTCTAATAATTAATGCAGACTATCCAAAAGTATGTTTATGTTTAAAGACTCCTCTGGCCCAAAAATGATGATGAGTTCCCTGACAAGCATGATGTCTGCCTGGCACTGTAGACAGCTTTGGGATTCCCCAATGTGATTTCAGATACAAAGATGAAGCCCAGCTTTACAAAGAAGAGCACTTGAGAAACCGGCAACACCCACACTGTTATGTGCAGTACATGATTGCCATCATCAATAACTGCCAGACCTTCAAGTAAGTGCTGTGTAGGACATAGAGGGACAGAGAGCATGCAAACTTGTAGCTATTTCCCTGAGCCCTTGATGTTTGCTTGCAGAGAATCCATCATCAGTCTGAAAAGGAAGTACCTAAAAACTGAAACAGAGGAGGGCCTGTGTTTGAGTCAGCCGAACATGGATGGGATTCTAGATGCCATTGCTAAGGAAGGCTGCAGCAGTCTGCTAGAAGAGGTCTTCCTGGATCTAGAGGTGAGCTTGGCTCCTCCACCCCTGGGGCTAGAGCATGGGGTAGGGCAGGGGGTTGGGGGGTTTCATGTTTTTCTTTGGACCACACTGTTGCCTACCTCATGTAGCTGCTGAGAAGTTCCCTTGCATCTGTACTAAGCTACAATCAGACGGCCACTGCCTGCCTGGTATGAAGACCTTCCTAGGCAAACTTAAATAAAGACTCCCAGGAAATAATTAGGTATCAAACATTAGAAAGTTACATGATACATCAAGTATGTGGAAACTGAGAACAAAACTCAGCTGAGCACACAGGTCACATAAATCAGCCTCACTTTAGAGCAGAATTCCAACATACAACACACCCAAAATCATTAACAAAACAACTTTCATTCATACCAAAAGCATAGTGCACCATAAACAAATAGAGCCACTTTGGAACACAGATACCAGCATAGTTAAATGCCTTTGGGAAGAATAAGTATATATTTAAAAAATAAAACTGACCGTCTGTGGGTCTTGTTGCAAATCTTTTTTTTTAAATCATGCCTCACTGAGTTCAGATCCTCAGACCCATGGTTATGGCCATGAATACCTGCAACCTCAGAGCTATAGGGAGCGGAGAAAGGACCACTGGGGCTTGCTGGACAGCCTGAGTAGCCAAAATAGTGAACTCCAGGTTCAATGAAAGACGTGTCTCAAGGAAGTAAGGTGGAGAGTGATGGAACAGGACACCTACATCCTCTGGCCTCTTTGTACAGCACATACACACCAATTGAGAAAAGAGGAGACTTGTCTTTGTGATTATTAAAAAAAAAAAAGACATCATACAAAATAGACAAAAGGTACAAGTGACCTCTGCACAGAAAAAGAATTACCAGAGCCTAAACATGAGCCAGACATCCATCTGCTGTGACTAGAGAAACATGGATCAATATTTAGTGTGAGCTGTTGCTTAGCCTGGGGCCAGGGATCGAAAACACATACTATACTCCTCAGTAGGGGAGCACAGTGCTTGGCTCTGCTCTGGGTAGAACTGATTTTGCAGCATTTCAAATGAAGCTTGGCTATATTTATCAGAGTTTTAATATATATAACCTGTTGTTAGTACTAGTTTTTAGAAAGCATGTATGTATAATATAAAACTCCTAAATTTAAAGTATAGATTTGCAGATTATGTAAAAAGTAGACTTTTTTTTTTTAACCTGAGTGTATCACTTCCACAATCAGAAAATCTGTGTGACCCCCAGTGTACTGGCTGGTTTTATGTGTCAACTTGACACAAGCTAGAGTTATCACAGAGAAAGGAGCCTCCCTTGAGGAAATGCCTCCATGAGATCCAACTGTATGGCATTTTCTCAATTAGTGATCAAGGGTTGGGGGGCCCATTGGAGGTAGTGCCATCCCTGGGCTGGTAGTCCTGAGTTCTATAAGAAAGTAAGCTGAGCAAGCCAGGGGAAGCAAGCCAGTAAGCATCATCCCTCCATGGCCTCTTCATCAGCTCCTTCCTCCAAGTTCCTGCCCTGTGTAAGTTCCTGTCCTGACTTCCTTTGGTGATGAACAGCAGTGTGGAAGTGTAAGCTGAATAAACCTTTTCCTCCCAAGCTTCCTTCTTGGTCATGATGTTTTGTGCAGGAATACAAACCCTGACTAAGGTACCCAGGGAGTGACCACTCTGAGGTAGGGATGATCCCAGGCATGGTGCCAGGCAAAGATTTGTGTGATCACCTTGTGCTTTTCAGCAACATCTGAATGAGCTGATGACAAAGAAGTGGCTGTTAGGGTCAAATGCTGTGGACATTATCTGTGTCACCGTAGAAGACTACTTCAATGACTTTGCCAAAATTAAAAAGCCATATAAAAAGGTAAGCAAATGGAGTTTAGTGCACTGGAGCCTACCTTCCATTTGGATTATAATTCAACGTCAAAATAGCTCTCTGCTTATGATCACATGCCAGCATTGATGTAATCTGAAGAGTGTGAGGTGATGGGCTCGGATACAGATTGAAATGCTCCTTTGAGGAGCATTGTTTTAATGTAGTCAAACTCTACTCCTTTTTATGGTTAATTCTTTTTTTGGAGGGGGATCATACAGAATTGTTTTTGTCTCCAAGATCATGAAAATTATTTTCAAAATTAGCTATAAAAGTAGAATTGGGCGGTCAGAGGGCGGGGGCACAGGTAAGCCACCATGAGGGTGAGAGCAAGAGAGAGGAGGCAGTGTGGATATGGGGGTGATGTACATGAGTACACACACACACACACACACACACACACACACACACACACACACCACCTGTGGCACTTAGGAGAGCTGGAGAATGCACCCTGTTGATGTGAGTGTGGGAGAGCTAAGCCCCTGACGAGTTAGCCCACCCCAAAATCCTCTTCATCTCTGAAATGCTGGAGCTTGTGAAAGGACCGGTCCTGCTGTTCCAAAGCTTCGCGATCTCCATGACACAGGGCAAAGCAGAGTAACTAGGAGGAGTCCTAGTACTGATCTTGTATTGATGGTGTGACAGAAGACAGAAGCATCGAACCATTGCAAATGAAGATGTGTGGACAGAAGGGTATACTGTGGGATACACCATGGTATACTACAGCTTCCATGACAAGATGTTTTCTATACTTGTTTTGTTTTGCTTATTTTTTGTTTTTTATTTTATTTTGGGGGGTGGGTTACAAGGGCAGAAGGCAGATACAGGGAACAGGGAGATGAGTGGGACGGGAGTGTATAATGTGAGACTTGTAGAGAGTCAATAATAAGATTTTTAAGTAGTCTTAAACCTTTATGTTTACATTCAAGCAGTTATGTGTTGTTTTTAAATACTGTAGTTGCTTATTTTTCAAAATTATCAGTTTTTTTTATCTTTTTACTGTTTCCTTCAAGCATTTGTGTGTTGTTTTCTTAGCAGAGTCTGACAGCCATGGTATAGTGTTTGGGCCTGTTCATTTCTACCCATGCTAGAGCTTGTCCTTGCCAGCTGTCTTAATAGCTTATCTCCTGGTATGTTTTGATCTCTGATTTTTATTTCATATGTAGATGATGGGTCTTAAGGAAAGAGGAAATTATATACACTCTCAGGCATATCTTAGCTCCAGTCTCAGCCTGGTTACAGCTTGATTTAGTTAATGATACTTTTTTTTTTTTGTCTTCCTTGGATCTTGTGGGAGTCCAGTGTGATAGTGTGCCTGCAGGTCCTGTGGTTATGCATGCATCTCCATTTGAACCAGAGACAGTTGTCTACCCCACTCACAGGGAGCTGACTCCAAAGCAGAGGCTACAACCACTAGCTATCATATCAGTGGTTGTACAATTAAAGGATCTGACTGACTTAAGTATCACTTCAGTAAGGCTCCCTCCATAGAGGGAATCTAATCTCTTAAACAAGCCAGCTTTCATGCTCTTCTACCATGTTCTAGATTTTTCCTTTGCTTTGTAATGCTCCAGAGGTGTATTTTCTTGTTTGAGTCTTTCCTGGGGATTCCCAAGATATTTAGTCTGTGGTTTTGGATTTGTGTTATCTGAGGGTGCAGGGTGGTGGTGGTTTGGTTCTCCACTAATCTGCTTATGGATGAGGTACTGCTGTTGGGCTCCATCTACTCTAAGCTCCCCCTGCTAACCCATCCTGTCAGTCAAGAGGGCAAAGCTTGTTTGGCTCAGGCACTTCCTCTACTGCAGCTCCACTTTGTATTAGGTTGAGATCCTCAGTATCAGGCAGAGTTGGAGGCTAGAGTACATCAGCCAAGTGCTGGCATGGTATTTGTTTACTGGGGTCACTGAAGCTCATTTGTAGATAATTTGGTGCCCTATAAAAACAATGCTGGAAGCAAGTTCTCCAAGAGATTTAAATCTGTCTGATTTTTAGATGGAATATAAGCATCAAGCCTTCATGGGATATGTGTGGGCCCCTGTGTACATGCTGTGCTGCCAGATGGCCTATCATAACTCTTGTTACCATGTGAATCCAGGAGAATCCAAAACTTTATGGTGAAATTCAGACATGCATAATTTAATGTACCTACTTTAAAATCCTACAAAATATAAGGCCAGGTGTAGTATTCTAGAGGCTGAGACAGGAGGATTATTGTGAGTTTGAGGCTAGCTTAGACTATATAGCTAAATCATGTCTCAATAGGAAAAAAAAGTCCAACTAAGTTGTTGGAAATAAGAAGGACATACACCTGCCTGTGTGCAGGTCATTTTAGGTTCAATGGGAACATCTGTATGTACTAGCACTGTGGAATCTACAACTGATTACATGTTTTCCCACAGAGGATGACAGCTGAGGCACACAGGCGTGTGGTGGTGGAATACCTGCGGGCTGTCATGCAGAAGCGTATTTCCTTTCGGAGTGCTGAAGAGCGCAAGGAGGGTGCTGAGAAGATGGTCAGAGAGGCTGAACAGCTCCGCTTTCTATTCCGGAAGCTGGCATCTGTGAGTATTGAATGGGGCTAAGCTCAGGGGTGGTGTATATCAGATTACTGAGTTATCTAGTAGCTTGCTTTTGGTTCCTATGCCTGGACTATTTAAGCCAGATGATGGGATCCAGGAACACCAGGAACCAGTGGCCAGTTAGTTCTGTCTGTCAAGAGTAGGGTCTGGCTCCAGAGCCCGCCCAGCTTCACAATTGATAAGTGCATTTCCACAGAGGCCAACACTTTGTTAAGGCAACTCTCAAGACTTTTTTGGTGGCAGCCCATGTGTAATTTCATGAAGTAATATATCTCTTCCTGTCCTTCTGTTTTCATCTGTTTGCTCTCGATGATTCTGGTTGCCACCCAATAACCTCCTTGACTGAAGTGTCCATAACTAGATACTCCTCACACCAGGCCTTTTCTCTGGCTGGAGACTAAACTAATAACCTAATAACCTAACTAATAGTGACTAAACAAATTACCTCATGAGATTGGCTCCTGATCCTTAGTCAGAATGAATGAATCTTAGGGTGTTTACATGACAAGCAAGGTGCCCAACCTAAAACCAGGTTTAGAGATGTCAACATCAAATTGGCACTATTGCAAGAAATAAAGCTGAGGGCTATTCCCTACACTGCTACTGTTTTCCAGGGATTTGGTGAGGATGCAGATGGACACTGTGATACAATTGTTGCAGTGGCAGAGGTCATTAAGCTCACAGACCCTTCTCTGCTCTACCTAGAAGTCTCAACTTTGGTCAGCAAATATCCAGACATCAGGTAAGGCTGAGCAACTTTCCATCAGCAAGTAGCACAGCATGCCATTCCTACTGCCCTTAGGAAGATGAGCTGTGGGCATCAGGAGTCAGACAGAACTTGCATGCTAACTAGATGTGAAGAGAAAGTTGTCAGGGCTATGGTGGTGAGGGTTTCAACAAGGAGTCATCTGTGCAGTCATCCACCAGCCCTACCTGATCTGATGTTAGCAGAGTCTGACTGAGGTTTGTACATCTGCCTTGTAGCCAAGCTTGCTTGCCTGAATGCATGGTGGTCAGATGGCAGGCCTGACTATACAAGGTGGGTGGGTTTTGCCTGAATTAGTAGTGGACAGAGGCAGCTCTAACTGTACAAGATGTATGGTGTTGGGGAGGATTGAGTATTACATCTTTGATTGGTGAAGTGGGGAAGCTTATGACCACTGAGTGATCTCAACTGCATGATCTAAGGAAGGAAGATGACTTGAATGTGGCCAGGATTTCCTCACATATATGTGCATCCGGTATCAGACTGAGGAAAAGGATATCTCTATTCCATTCCCTCTACCTGCTGTGCTGGCTCTAGACCCCAGGCCCTGCCTTTGTGACCTCCATTCCAGGAACCTGCCACGTCCTCTAAGGATGAGCATGGCTAAGTTGTCTCATTGCCACTGTTAGAAGAGCGAGAATTCTAAACCCTTCAGAGTCACCCTTCTGTGGTAGGCATTCTTGACACCAGCAGTTAGAACAGAATTTTACAAGTTTTACATTTTTTGGACAGAAAGTAAGATGAAATGTTGGGTATCTCTCTTCTGTAAAAGAAGGAATGTCATTTGTGGCTGTCAGTATCCCACCCTCTGAGTGTCACCTGTGGAGACTGAGGGAGCTGAGAGAAGGTGGAGGTTCATGCTGACTTCTCTCCCACAGAGATGATCACATTGGTGCACTGCTGGCATTGCGAGGAGATGCCAGCCGGGACATGAAACAGACCATCATGGAAACGCTGGAGCAGGGCCCCATGCAAACAAGCGCCAACTATGTACCCATCTTCAAGGAGATTGTTGTGCCCAGTCTGAACGTGGCAAAGCTCCTTAAGTAGCCCTGTCCTCCCTGCTCCCCTGTGTGTCTTTACTGTGTGGCTTTCCTGTTGTCACTGTATTAAAACAAAAGTCCGTCTCTAGGTGCACCGTATGACGTCAGTTACATGTTCCTCTCTGCTGTGGCATCACGCTGTTCTCTACTATGAGAAAAAAAGTTGTGTAGTGGGCATCACTCTTTCTTCCCTGCTGAAGTCTTGTTCTGCTTAATTAACACTTTGAACCTCTGCCACTTAATTAAAGGAAAAGAAAGCCAGGAAGCTTTCCATTCCCAGTTATAGGTTGTTCTGACTGGTTTTGATATGGCCATGTCCAGAGGCAACAGGAGGTCATCAGATCTCTGCTGACCTGTGAGTAGTCCTGAGCAGTCTGGGGCCAGGATCTGCCCTGGCCTTTCTGTCATTCTGATGTCCACAGCTTTCTTGTACATAAACAGCTGTCCTCTTGTTCCAGAGCTTCAGGGACTACCTTAAATTAAACATGGTTGAAGGGCCTGTCCTATTGCCTAGGCCTTGTTCCACATGGCCTCCCTTGAATGTGTAGACTAATGAAATATTTTCTTTCTACTCTTGATGACAGTGTTAACATTCTGATTTTATTTCATTCTTACAAAGTATTTTAAAAAATCACAAATAACCCCTTCTCTGGAACTAAGTAAAAATTCCTCTGGGATTCAGAAGAAACATGAATTTCCTAGAGTGCCTGGCTGGTATTGTTTTGATCCAGGCCCTGCTCAACAATTCACTCAATGTGAATGACAACTGGGCAATGCTTTTGAAATGTGCACTGAGAAATATTGACAAATTACAATGACTCTTGTGGTGACAAAAGATGCTTGTGTCTCCACTGAAGTTTCTCACTGTAGGCTGCTGCTGGGCATGTAGGGTAGACATTAAAATGACCACTGAATGCCCACATGGTTAAGCCCATTTGGCTCTCGAGCCTTAGAGGTCAGCAGAGGACAGGACATATCATATTTGTGAACAGTGGGTAGTAGAATTGTGGAGACAGGGTAGAAATTGTTAGAAGTCAAAGGGTAGTACTAGGCTATGTACTAGTGGGTAGGCAGTGTCCAGTGTGATACAGGGAAAGCTGTGGCCAAGAATCTTTTTAGAGGACACCTATATACAGGATTGGATAGGCTATTCTAATGAGTGTGTTGTGGCTACATATACCAAAGTCTATAGTGTCTGCTTTCTGAACAAGGGTATGTGGCTACCATTTGCCAGACAGGAAAGTTTTTGAGAGAGAACATTGACCAGGTATTGATTCCATGAAATGAGCTGTTAGCCATGAAAGGTTATCTTCCAGATTAGCAAAGTCCCTTGGTTGTTGACTGTGTTAGATTTTTGTGATGAGACATAATAACCAAAGCAACTATTATAAAAGAAAGCATTTAACTGGGAGCTTGCTTACAATTTCAAAGGTTTAGTCCATTATCATAATGGAGGGGAGAATAGCATTATGCAGTCAGGTGTCTGCATTAGCTGAGAGCTGTTCTGAAGGCACAGACATGGGCTTTTGAAACTTCAGATTTCATCCCCACCTCATGACACACTTCTCCAATAAGGCCATGCCTCCTAATCCGTTCAAATAGTTCCATTCTGTGGTGACCAAGAGTTCAAGTATATGAGCCTGTGGAGGCCATTCTTATTCACACCACCATATTGACTTTATTTAGTTGGGACCAGGATAAGTAGATGTTCCAGGCCATGCTGGATCACCAGTGAAATGGAGAAGCAGCTATGAGATTGATGCTGTTTCATTCCCCTTTCCTCATATTTGTTGATGCACAGTTGAGGTTGGTGGGTGAGCTCCCTCTAAAGAAGGAAAGGATGGACATCCTAGACACTTGAGTTCAGGTAGCCAGAACCAGGCCACCTCAACAAAGTCTTTTAATGCAGACAGAGTTCAGGGAAAACTGAACAAGCAGAACCACACTGGGTCAGTTCCTTTCTTACTGCAGTGGAATGAATTGTGACTTCTAAAAAGAAAGATTGAGATCTTATCTTTAGAACCCTGAATCAGACTTGGGTTGAAAGTAGAGTCATTGCAGGTGTGATGTAACTGAAGGTACGAAGTCACATGGAAATAGTGTGAGTACTTACATGGAGACGCCAATAGCCCTTAAAACCAAGAAGAGGCCTGGAAGGACTCCTCTCCTGACTCCTGGACTTTATTTCTTCCCATAAGGCATGAAGCAGACTTCTTGAGTCATGCACGAAGTGTTCTTTGCTAGTTTACCCTTTATATCTGCTTTGAGATGACTATAAACTTAACAGTTGAGATTCCTCGTGTAAACAGCTAATGTCTTGGGATTCTGCTTTGAAATGCAATTTTAAGTGATCTAAAATAAAAAGTGTGTTGCAGGACCTCTAGACCTCATGTTTCCCAGGGTCTGCCACACACACCTCTGCACTGTCCTTACCTCGACCTACAGAGACCCTCCTTGGTGCCCTTTCTTGCCATTCCTTTTTTTTTTAATAATTTATTTTTTCTCAAATCATAATTCATTCACACAGGGGTTATAAACACAGAAAGGCAGGATGTGGGGAAGGGAATGACACTGGAGTGTGGGTGATCAGGGGGAATACAGATATCTTCAGAACCAGGTATCAGCTGGGTGAAGGTTCAGGGGACAAGTCACTATGACTCTGCCTATAACTCGATTGTCCTTATCTAAGTTGGTATTGTCTGCCCAGGCTACCTATTTACCTATTTACAAGGTCTATGACTACTCAGGCTTGTAAATTTCCACAAAAGCTGCCTGTTTACATTAGCTTATAGCCATCTGTTTCAATGTTTTTCCACTGAGACCCAAGACTTGGTGTTAGTATACATGTATGACAGGCCTGTTGCTGATTTTAGGCCTTCAGTGGGTAAGCAGGGCTGCCCCTGTCATCTCCCTTCTCTAATTGTAGAAGGGCTGTGGCAATTCTAAACTTGCGAAGGTAGAGATAGAGGCCTGACCTCCAGTATTTGAAGGAGACCTTGTAATGGCTCCAGTCTCCCTGTCGTTGTCGAGTGAGGCATGAGGGCCATACCCGTCCCGATGTCTTTTTCCTGGAGAGGGGATACTTTTGACATCAACCCCTATGCAGTTAGGCTTGTCCCTCAGGGAACTCAGATAGATATTTTTATCTTTTATTTATATTCCTTTGCAGTGCTTAGCCTCGCAGCCTAAGCAAGAATTCAGATCGCCTGACAGAGGGGGTTCTGGGTGGCCCCTCTCTGCTTGGTCTAGGGGCAGAAGTCCCCCCTTTTAGGTTGGGTGGAGATGGGTTTTGGAAACACCCTGTATAAAGTAACAACCTCATCTTGCGTCTTGTGGTCCTCAGGTTTTGCTACCAAATTATTTATCTGTTGTATCACAGAGTTAGTCCACCTATTTGAGAGCCAGGGACCAGCAGAAAAAAGCAAAAAGAACCCAAATAATGGTCCCAAGATGGAAGGAAATAGGATTGACAACCTTGGGGAGGCTGAAAACCAATTCTTGTACCAGCCTTCATCTGTCTCTTTCTCTCTCTGATTTTTCTTAGGGCCTTCACTACCTGTTTCATGCTCTCTTTAACCCTCCTTGTCTTGTCTATGTAAAGGCAACCTTCTTCTTTAAGAGCTGTACACAGTCAAGAGCTGTACACAGCCTTTTCTATTGTAATAGAGTAAATCAAATCCAATAAGGATCTTTGCGATTTTAGGAGGTCTCTTCAGACAGCAAAACAAGGGATTTCTTCAAATTAGTGATTTCAATCTCTAGCTGTTTGATGTTCTTGTCAGTGGCCCTTCAAAGGTCTGAGTAGTGTAAGTTCGGAGGCCAGCATCTGGATTAGAACTTCTAACAGCAGACATCACGGGTGATTCATTTTTACCTGGAAAGGAAAAAGAAGGGAATTCTCAGGGAGATTTCCCTGGATGTAAATTGTTATTCATCGTATTTATGGTTGGGCCTGGCTTTGTGGGGGTATCTATTTTTTTTATTAATCTTTTTGGTAGCCAGTTAGCTGTGCCTTCTGTGGTATCAGACACTTGCCATTCCTTTTTACAATGCACTTTGATGTCTGTAGCACCTAGCCACCTCCTCAGCCATGGTGGGAACTGTTTCAGTTGTCCATTGCCCAGTCAGCCACAGGAAGTATCTGATCTGTTTTATATGTGAGAGATGCTTAATTGGGGCTTCCCATAGATATGTCCAACAGCTTCCCATCCCTAATAGGAACAGACTCTTGGTTTTATCTTAATTTTAATGCACAATAAACTGCCTCTTAAATTATCCTGGGTAGGATTTTTCATTCATAAACAAAGTTTGCACCCAAAATGCCTTAAAGTGTTTTTAATAGACATAGACAAGCAGTCACTGCAGTTTTGCTGATGGACTCTTGTACAGATGCTGTCCAACACATAGGAGGGGCATTTTAAGGCACATTATTCTGTGGTCAGAATTAAAGTTCAACTATGATTATGTTCACAACATTAATACACAATTTTAACCATTCAAAATATATTTCTAGTTTTGATGAAGTTCTTTAAATTTCCTTTCATAAAAAGATTAGTAATACATAGTATATTGAACACTGTAATAAAATTATTTTCAAGAAAATACAGAAGTGGAAATATAAATTTCCTAAATTTGTATACTTTGTAGTACCACAAAGTAGTTCAAAGTTCAGTACTAAATAAATAGAAATTCTCTCCTAATAAAAAAAAAACTTTTACAACAGTTTTCCTAAGGAAATACATTCATAGGATTTTACATTCTATTGTACAACAATGACAAGAACAAGAGGGTCCTCAACTATGAAATGTAGCCACTGTATCACTTAAGCACAGGAAGTAGGGTTTTGTAAATGAGGCTTTCTTGTCAAGACTCTGATTCCATATGGCTATGCTCATTGGTGTGGTTCACATGCTCAAAGGACGTGGCCTGTACACAGCTAAAACATGGACAGAGTGTCAAAAAGTTCCACAGATTGATCACCTGGCTGCTAGCTTTGGTATCTCTGGGTACTGGTGCAAAGTGACAGCTGCTGAGGCACTGCCTCATCATACTTGGCTTCTAATTCTGCAGTGGGAATTGGACCCCATGCCCAGCAGATCAGGTGAGGTGTTAAGGCAGTGTCCTGGCACAGGAAGGTATGAGAAACTTGTCTGCAGAGCAGGGGCTGACAGGTGCCTTGCAGAACACCTTGGTACAGTAGCCAGGCACAGCCTGCCTAGGAGGTACTCCAAATGGCAGCTCCAAGTAGTCTGGTGAAGTTGCTGATCCCGGCATTGTGCAGTGGCTGGACTTAAATTCAGAAATGGATAAATGTTTCAAGGGCTATGGAAAGCAGATGCTGAGCATCTGATGACTGAGTCTGAGCTAGCCAGTCAAACAGCATCCTGACAGGTTCAGTTGGGGGACAACACTCTGAAGCAGAATGCAGTGAGAGAACTTGCTTTGTTTTCATTCATTTCTCTCAGCTCTCTTCCTACCCACGAATCAACTGCAGCATTAACACAAATTGAAGGACCTTCCTGTGACTCCTCTGAAGGCATCTGTCAGCCTTGTTCCTGAGACACGTATTTAGTTTCCTGAGCAGAGACCTGAGTGCTTTGTTTCAGAAATCCCCAGGAAGTCCTTAAGTTCACCTTTAGCTCCATCTCGATCTCCCTTAAGTGATACCCCTGGGGTGCAGGCAAAGTTTCCAGTGAATTGGAAGCAAAACTCAGGTGACTTTTCAACACTGGACTTTTGAGGAAGGGTGATAAGGGATGAGGGCCCGCCCTCTTACCCACTCCAGAGGGCCAATGTTCTAAGGCTGAGGCTCTGAAGACCTGGGGCTAGGACAAAATGCCCAGAGAGTGGGTTCCTGCATCTCCCTACTCTTGGGTGATATAGAGCCCCTCTATGTCCGAGGTTTTCCCTGCCTTTGACAGATGCCAGAGAGCTGGCTATAATTTTGACCAAGGAAGGTTTCCAATGGACCACCTCCTAGTGCTCTAGCCCAGCCTGCCTGGTCATCTATTCCCAACTTAGGGATAGCTCAGGCCAGACACCTTGTTTGTGGTGGCAAGACCCAGGCTAGGAGGGGCCAGGCAGGGAAAGTCTGAGCTAGAGGAGCCAAGTATTTCTGCAGTTGATCACAGGGTGATAGGGCAGTCTGGAGAACTAACTTGGAAGGGGGTCAGATAGGGCCTTGAGGGTGTATATTTCTGGAGATGCCTATTTAGAATGAGGTTGATCTGGGCGGTGCCACTTGTACAAAACTCAATTTTTGAGACCTTTGTACCAGCAGTGATTAAATCCGCCACAGGCCTCTTAGGGATCTTCCCCCTTCTCTGAGTAAGGGTGGCAAACACTAACAAGGGCTCGCTTCGGGGTAGGGGTGGGGAGGCAGCACCACAGAGCCCTAGGATCTGAACCAGGGCAAGAAGACGGCAGGAGGCAGTGTGGTATCCTGGGGACACCATATGGATTAAAAGATTCTTCCTAGGGCTAGGCTATGCATTAAGACTCCCAGGGTGCATTGGACCCTAAGAACACTAGCTGGTTGGGGAGGGGCCACTGAAGGAGACCCTCGGAGCTGTGCCACCGACCAGACAGCAGTCACAGGGGCGTTTCTTCTTGCTCCAGAGCGTGCAGCGGCAGTTCTGTAGAGCCCGGAAGAGAAGCGAGTTTTAGCAGACCTGGGCGTCTGCGCGGGCGAGGCCTTTGGAATGAGCGCCTACTGTGTACCCGGCGAGCAGCAGCCGACCGAGCGTGCGCACTGGGTGGGGCCCGGTGCTCTGGCTCTGTCCCAGGATCACCAGGGGCAAAAGTGACAGTAGAGGTGCGCTCAGATGGGGCGGGGCTTGGGGCACCTGGGTGGGCGAGCCCTGCAGGAAGCAATGGCAGCTGGGTAGCAGCAGATGACTGACGAGATAGGCGTCCAGTTAGCGGTGTGCCAGAGCTTCTGTCACCTGTGGGAAGATGGAGTATGAGTGGCTCCCGGTCCAGATCAACACTGACCTACAGAAACCTGTACTCAGCCCAGGATTCCCTTCCCCCTGAGTTTACTGTTCCTCTGTGGCTTGCCCAAAACTAGGAGCCTGACTATGGAAAGGGTACCTCAGGCTTAAGTGCAAGGAAGGACCCCTAACCTTCCACACCAAATGGGACATTTTCTGCTGTGCACTACTGCAGAGTTACAAGGAGTTCCAGCCAGTATCTCTGAACCTTCCTAGGCAGCTGTGCACTGAGCAGCCAGCAGATCTGGATCACTCCCCATGTTCTGACACTTTCAAACCCTGCCATTGATAGCAGCCCCCTCTACAAGCCGTAGCAGTGCCACATCCACCCCTGGGTACTACTGCTCTACCCTAGAAGCCTGTCTCAAGCCTCAATTCACACAAG